TGCATTTCCGGCATGCCACTCTGGCATCGCAGGATTGACAGTGCTTTCAAACGGATTCTTACAGCCTTGTATACGAGTTCGTACAGAGTTGCATAAAGTTTATTGCTTCAGAGAGGTGCGTGGCGGACTTTGTCCGAGTTTCCGTTAAGGAAGTCGACTGAAGTTATCATACCAAACAGGGAAAAAAGAAAACAGTAATGCTTTGCTTATCGTGCTACCTCAGAATGACGTCTATAACACCCTATAAACACCCATAGAATTTGCACAAAAGCATCAACCCTTGTAAGACCTATTACCAAACCCTGCAACACGTAGGGCCCTACCTGCACACGACAGTCGTCTCGTGCGCTTTGTGTCAAAGGGTTTTTCTATCACCGGTTCCGTTATGTTGGCAAGCTCCAATGGTTGAGGACAGCTGATATATACTTAAGGTTTTATTTGAAGAAAAAGGTAGACTATGCAATTGTGATTTTAACAAGAACAACACGCGATGTGATGACGATGGTCATGGTGATGATGATGATACGTAGATGGTGATGGCGTTGATGTTGATGAGGACGATCCCCATCGTCATCGCCATCAACAACGTTCGGCCCTCGACGAAAAGCGGGATGGGGCCTTGCGGTCGAACTTCGTTGAAGCCGCAAACCGACCCGTTAACCCAAAACCCAAAATGACGGATATACCTCTTATGCCAACAAGCTTCAAAAACCCTGACCCCACAGTGACCGCATTTGCAAACCCCCGCTGGGATGCCCGACGGCTTCCAACAGAAGGTCTCGAATTTCGGCCTGCCGCTCGGATTTCGGGAGGTGTTTAATGTAGACCTTTCCCTTAAGAGTATATTCACAATAACGAATCACAAAAAAGTATAGGTAATCATTAAGAGGGCTTGGAGTATAGGCAAAGATAAAGAGGAATCCTAAAGGTTGTTTCCTAAGAACCCGGTGCAGGAGTTAGGGTTTTGAGGCTTGGGGATCAAAAGTTCATTAGGGTTTACAAGGTTCAAGATTAAAGGTTTAGGGGTAGGACCTTGACTTGATCACTCCTGAAATTGCGCCTTCACAGAGGCCCTTTACTCTCATTCATGGAATGCGCTGGCGTCCAAGCCGGTTTGGAGTGCTAGTTTTTTTGGACCCTAAAGCCTAAACGTTAAACTGTAAAACCCTAAACTGTAAAACACGAAACCCGAAATTCTTAATCTGAAGCTCTAAGAACCTCGCCGGTTTCGGGCTTAGGGTTTAGGGCTATGTCAGTTTTAAGCTCTGCAGCCTTGAAGCCTATATCCTGCAAAACCTACACCCCGACCCCTACTGTAAACGAGGTTCAGGGTTTAGGTTTTAGAGCTTAGCCTGAAAACCAAATCCCTAAAACCTGATCAAGCTAAACCCCCAAACTGTGGTACCCCAACTTTCGGTAACTCCCATATCGCGTTTGGTGTAGACATGCTTTTTTGCTAGTGTCTTCACAGAACTGCGGGGCTCGGGGTTCAAAATGATTCCGGTTTGCTAGCTTACGCAGGCTTGGGATGTGGGGATGGGCGTGTAGATCATGATGCCATGAAAATGCGTTTGCGGAGTCGTGCACTTCCCGCACTTCAAGTCTTCAAGGCTGGGGACCAGGCCCTCTGCATAGCTTCCGACAGCTATGCTTCAGCCGTCCATATTTGGTCCTCCTCCTTGTCAAAACTACGCAGCCTTGCGGTCGAACTTCATTGAAGCCGCAAACCGACCCGTTAACCCAAAACCCAAAATGACGGATATACCTCTTATGCCAACAAACTTCAAAAACCCTGACCCCACAGTGACCGGATTTGCAAACCCCCGCTGGCATGCCCGGATTTCGGGAGGTGTTTAATGTAGACCCTTAAGAGTAAATTCACAATAACGAATCACCAAAAAAGTATAGGTAATCATTAAGAGGGCTTGGAGTATAGGCAAAGATAAAGAGGAATCCTAAAGGTTGTTTCCTATGAACCCGGTGCAGGAGTTTAGGGTTTTGAGGCTTGGGGGTTTAATCAAAGGTTCATTAGGGTTTACAAGGTTCAAGATTAAAGGTTGAGGGGTAGGACCTTGACTTGATCACTCCTGAAATTGCGCCTTCACACAGGCCCTTTACTCTCATTCATGGAATGCGCTGGCGTCCAAGCCGGTTTGAAGTGCTAGTTTTTTTTGGACCCTAAAGCCTAAACGCTAGACTGTAAAACCCTAAACTGTAAAACACGAAACCCGAAATTCTTAATCTGAAGCTCTAAGAACCTCGCCGGTTTCGGGCTTAGGGTTTAGGGCTATGTCAGTTTTAAGCTCTGCAGCCTTGAAGCCTATATCCTGCAAAACCTACACCCCGACCCCTAGTGTAAACGAGGTTCAAGGTTTAGGTTTTAGAGCTTAGCCTGAAAACCAAATCCCTAAAACCTGATCCCGAAACCCTAGAACCTAAACCCTAAAACCAATAATAAATCGTCAAGCCTGATCCGTAAACCCCAAAGCCTAAACCCGAAAGCTCAAACCACAAACCCTTAAACCCAAAACTCAAACGTCAAAACCCGCAGTATACTTTCTGAAACGTAAACCTTGCCTAAAAGACTAAACCCAAAACCCTACAACACAAACCTTAACACGTAAGGCGTCAGTCATTAAACCGTAAAACCCAGGACACCAGGCCTTGCGGCAAAGCCCCTGGTTCCAGTCCAAAACCTGGGTGTGAGGAGACGATGGGGGCCTCAAGAACTAGAACCCTAAACCCTGTGAGCCCTGTAAGGAAATCAAGCCCTAAACTCTAAACCCCTAGACGTGGGGGAACAATCGGGCAGCAACAAACACCTGAGGCTTACAAGTATGTTTCAAGAACCACAACCGGAACAGTAAGTCCGTAAGTCACTGGCTCCTAAACCAGCTTGGAAGAATTTCCCATCAATGCTCACAGGCCCTGCTTTCTTGCTCAAAGCTCGAAACCCTGCCGAAAGCCATCCAAATACTAGCGGGGCCTGGTCGTCGGACGTCGACGAGGAGGAGGAGGCCTTTCAATCGTGCCGCATCCATTTTCAGTGTTCTTCGTTGCGGGGACCTACTGTCAACTGAGTTTGCATAGGGAGATCAACATGTCCTGCAAAATGTTTAAACTGCTACGCTGCTGGGGGGTCTTTGCTTGCTTATGATGGGTATTGTCCGTCTTTTTGCGATCCGGGGTCGATCAGCATCGTCATCATCACAATCACCTTCACCATGATCATCAGCAACATCAACATAGCTCGGCCCTTGACGGACAGCGGGATGGAAGGGTAGAAGTGTGTGGGGGAACAATCGGGCAGCAACAAACACCTGAGGCTTACAAGCATGTTTCAAGAACTACAACCGGAACAGTAAATCCGTAAGTCACTGGCTCCTAAACCAGCTTGGAAGAATTTCCCATCAATGCTCACAGGCCCTGCTTTCTTGCTCAAAGCTCGAAGCCCTGCCGAAAGCCATCCAAATACTAGCGGGGCCTCGTCGTCGGACGTCCATGCCTGACGGATTGTAAAGACGTCCGAGGTTTTTGCAAGGTTTTACACGGCATTAGAAGGTTCCCCTACGGGGGTTGAGGAGTTTCCGAACATTACGGCTGCCTTTTGTCCAGTGATAAGGGCGTCAATGGATGTGAAAGCAATTTTCTGGGCCTAGCTTCCAATCGCGGCGCATCAATTGTCAATGTTCTTTGCAGGGACCTAGAGAGGCTGCCAACTGATTTTGCATAGGGAGATCAAAAAGTCCTGCGAAATGTCTAAACAGCTAGGCTTTGTGAGGGCCGGGAGGGTGTTGCTTGCTTTACACAGGCTGCCCTTTGAATCGATGCGCCAGTAAAGTATTGTTTTTTCGCTGTAGTGCTCTGCATCAAGGACCTCCAAGCAACTCATCAGCCACACATAACGGCCCGGTTGAGTTTTCACACTGGATACTCAAAAGCAGCAAGTAGTTGCGATACAAACCCTGATATCGTTCGCCCTGGTCGATTGACTCTGCCTAAAATCATTTGCGATCTTTATTGCCGAGTTTCAATTTTCGGTGGAGTATTGGCAGAAACCACACGTGCTTCGGCTATCTGGACAGCAACGACACCCTCACCAACACCGAACCCACACTCGCCCCTGCTAGAAGAATTCTGGCGGCACAGAAACTGCATAAACTCCCAGGGCTCAGCCGAAGGCAATCAAATTGCAACTGCACCAAAACACTCAACATTACGAAGCCAACTTCAGTCAGTCCTCGCGTCCAGCTAGTTGGCGTTGTAGTCGCCATTGCGCCTAGGACATGCTGGGACACGCCCTTACCTGAAAGGCTCCAACAACCCAATGCTCGCAATTGGAGCTCGGGGCCGCTGAAAGCCGGAACCGTCGAACCTCGAAACCTTCAAGGCTCACAGGGCTGGGGAAGCCACGCTCGTCCGAAGAACTTCGAAGGATCAAAACAAGCCCTTGGGATCGTCCAAGCCTCCTGAAACTAACGATCCCTGAACTGAGAAACCCGCAGGGTCTCCCGAGGCCTAACTTCGTCAAGGCTGCACCTGACATCCAACTCAGTAGCACCGTGAAGGACAAATCCCAAAGCTCAGAAACTGGCTAGATCTGACCTCCCAAAGCCAAATCCGACATGTCATGACATGTCAGAACGTTGGACAAGAAAGCAAAAGCAGAAGAGTCGCGAACCGGAATGCGAATGCCCAAACGACGGAAGCAAAAAACACAACAAGCCCATCTGTCAAGGCCGAAACCTTCACCGGCCGACAACATCCGCCATCGGCAAGAGACCACAACCCAAAACCAAAAATCGATGCAGAGCCACGACGCTCACCTTCAAACAGGCCCAACGGCCTCTGAAGCCCAAATCTGCGCAGATACATGGCTAATCATAGCTACCTAGGAGCGTCATGGCTCCGTGTTAACAGGGATACGAAACATGGCACCCTATGGCGCAGTGAAAGCCTGACTTGCAACTATCCATCAGCCTTCATGCAAGCCGAGTCACGTGGACAGCGTCCTGAGCTGATTACACTTTGAGCTCTGCGTGGGGTCAAACTAGAACTACAGCTTAGAATTCCCCAACCCAAGCACGGGCTTGCTTTCGTCTTTATGGCATGCTCAACCGAAAACCTACGGTGCCGAGCCTTACGACTCCCAGTATATGAGGAACTCACCTACTTACTTCCTGCCTAAGATCTGAAAAAAATGCCTGGCTTGAGCGATTTGGAATTCTTGGCTTGAGGAAACCTTAAGAGCGGCCCCAAACTTGACATGACCCGAAACGCGAAACCAAAGTCCGACAATAAGAAAACTGGGGCATCGGATCATCGAGCAAACACGGCCGCCCTGAGTTTGACTTCAGGCAAAGGCCACATCTAGCAGTCAAGGGGGGCGGTCTAGGCTTCAGGGTTCGAGCGTAGGCCGGCGAGTGCCCCCCCCCCAGCCCCCCCGCTTATTTAAGCATGCTTCAAGGCATATGACTGTTGTGTGTTTGCAAATGCGGGGGGGCGGGGGGGCTGCGACCCCCCAACCCCCCGCTTTTTCAGCCGGGCAAGCATGCTTCAAAGCATATGATTCTGTGTTGAAACCCATCATCCGAGCATTGTGGTTGCAAAAGGGGGGGGGCTGCCAACCGCCCCGCTTTTTTAACCGTGCAAGCGTGCTTCACGGCATATGATTGTTGTTGAAACCCATCATGCGAGCATTGTGTTTGCAATTGGGGGGGGGGCCGCGGGCTAACCTTGCTATTTTCCTATTCAAAGGTCAAACTTGGTCTTTTCGAGAAAATAGAGAAGAATATCGAGAAAACAAACTTTTCTTTTGTAAGAATAGAGAAAATAAAGGCTTCCTATGGACATAGAGAGAAACCAAACGTTTTCATATGAAACAACAAAGAAAATAAGGGTTTTCCTATGGACAGACAGACAAAATAGAGGTTTTCCTATGTACATGTTCAGAGAATCGAGGTTTTAATATGCAAGTATCGAGTTTTCCTATTTCCTCGGGAAATATCGAAAAATATCAGTCTTCCTATGTAAATATCGAGAAACTAGAGGTTTTCCTATGGGAATATGGCCAAAAACAGAACTTTTTCACCTGGACATAGAGAAAATAAAGTTTTCCTATGGAAATATACAGAAAATATAAATTTTCCTAGAGAAATATAGAGTTTTCCTACCCCCCCACCGCCCCCCCCCAAAAAAAAAAACATAACAAAGAAAGTCCGCCCTCCAAATTCCCATAGAAAATACTGATATGGAGCAAAGCATGAATAAAATGAAGGTTTTTCTGTTCTTTGGTGTGGGCGCGTGCCGAACAACAACAACGCGCCCCGGCAGCCGCGGCCGAACAAAAACAGAAACGCGCCCCCGGGGTGCCCCGAGTGTGTTTTCTTTTGCCTGGGACACCCGCGTGCCGAACAAAAAAAAGCGCGCCCCGGGTGCCCCGAATGTTTTTTTTGCTCGGCCAGCCGCGTGCCGAACAAAAAAACGCGCCCGGAGTGTTTTTCTTTTTTGCTCGGCCAGACGCGTGAGTTACAAAAAGACGTAAAAAGCATACGGAACAATAACTCTTACCCTGTCCTAGACTTGCACGGCAGCTGCTGACTGTGGAAAGAAGCACTTGTCGAAATTCTCTGAATTGCAGTGCATTTGAAGCCTCAGCGCAGCCAGTGCCTACACTGCGTAGCACTTGGCAGCATGTTGCTCTGTATTCAAGGCTCCTGACATCCCCAAACTCCAAACATCTAAGGCCTGCAGTGCCCAAAGTGGCTGCCTAAAGCGCATCCAATGCAGACCCCACTTAGGCAGGAAGACCGCTGGGCGATTCTTCCGCATACCATGCGTGACATGCAAGCTGCAAAAAGCTTGACCCCTTCGCTTCTTGGAGCTATGGAACCATCCCCTACACCCTGGACCCCTCCATCCTATGAACCTTTCAAATCTATACGCTAAACCCGAAACTGTAACCCCTAAACCCGAAACCCTCAGCCTTGCACATGATTTGCCGAAGCTCTGGTCAGCACTCTGAGCCTTGAGAAGCCTGGGCTTTCAAAAGCTTAGGCATTTGATAGATTTGAGGGCTTCATGGCTTCAACTATTTCAAATATTAGGGGTGTAGAGGCTGAGGCTTTCGGCTGTACCCTCCCCTGGACTAACATGCAACCTTCCAAGGGGGCCTTTATCAAGAGGTAAGGCTTTATTTATGCACCCAAATGGACACCACATGCATACACTCACCAATGTTTCGTAAGGAACCTCCCAACTCACACGTCAAGCACATATGGCATATAGTTCCATGTTTACATGAGGATGGTGGCTCAGAGTCCGGAGTGACGGGGCACAAGGTTCTTGGGGTTTCTGGCTTCAGGGGCTCAGTTGCCATGAAGGTATGAAATTGGAAACAGTTACAGAACAATTCAAACTACGTAAAATGGAGACAAGGAAACCTCGGTGGTTCTCGTTGGAGTTTTCTGGGTTCGACGAGTCTTGGTGCAGGATTTAAAAACCACCTTAGGGTTCGGGTTTTGAAGTTTCATTGTATGAAATAAAGTTGGGGCCGCACTTCCAAATGAGTTTAAAGCTGTACAGCACTCCCTTCAGGGCTATGAGAGCATCCGAACTAGTCAGGCTCATACCCCGGTTGCGGTTCTTGGAGGGGAAAAACCTTGGAACAAAAATCGACAGCAGCCTATACACCCACGTTTTTGAATTAGAGTTTACAACGTAGGGCTTAGGATAGAGGTTTTATGATTCATTGGGTTTCGGTTGCAGCTGCGGGACTCTCCTTTGCGAAGGCTCCCGATTTCCGCCACGAGTTTGTCGGGTACCTTTGTTCAGGGGGTTGCTTTTTGAGGGGTGAGGGTTTTGGCACTTAGGGTGGAGTTTGGAAGTTGTGGGTCTACCTGGACCCTCCAGTGCTATTCCTTTTTTAGCCTGGCATGGATTCCTGATATTCTTGTGAGGACCTCCCCCCACAATTTTATTACATTGGAGGGCCTAAGTGGAACCTTTTGGAGTCTCGGGCTTAGTATCCCAGGATAGGGCTTGAGGTGTAAGGTCTATCATGATGAGTTTGGGACGTAGAGTTCAGGAAATAAGGGACTCGCTGCTAAAGGGGTAGCTCGCAGAGAAAAGAAAAAGTGTCTAGCCCAAAAAACACGCTCTGCCCAAACCTCCAAACTCCCCGGCGAGCGTGTCAACGCAAAATCATCATACCTCCCAAACCTTGGATCCTAATTCCTATGCATAAAGACTGCAACCGAAACCTACAAACTTGCCACATCCCCAAGCCTTAAAACCTAATGCCCTACATCCTACAACCTAAACCTCAGATGTATCAGTAGACTCGTCAGGTCAAGGTTTTCGGATTCGTTTAGGAAGTCCCTATAGTAAGCCTTATACACCCTACAAACCTTATGCGCTCTGTGAACCCCAACAAACCCTCTAAACTCTGTAAACTGTAAACCCATACACCCTATGAGCCGCAATGAATCCTCTAAACCCCCCAAACTCCGAGAAACCCCACTATATAGGGTGGGGCCAGTCTGGCGTCCAAGTGTCTAGCTCCTCCTCGCTGGAGTCGGTGTCGGAGTCAGAAGCCTCCACGAAACAGCAGAGGTTAGGGCTCTAGGTTTAAATGGTTTAGCGTTTAGGGGCTATCATGTACGTAGGGTTTGAGGTTCAAGGCTCTCGGGTTCGGGTTCAGCACCGCAAAATTTATTGCAGGAGGATCCTTCGACAAGTATGCTTGGGTCATCTTGGATCTACACTTCCCTTTGGCGTTACAAGGAGGCAACATGATTTTGGATAGACTCTATTGTAGGATGTTCCTATGATCAGCACGAGTCAGCCGGTGAATCAGAGTTCAAACTCATTTACTGTATGAAGTCCCAAACCCAAGCAAACCCATGCACATGGAGACTTGCGTGGCAAGAGCAGTTTCAAAGCACACGTTCTGTGTCCTGAACTCAATGCCTTGAGCCTACAACATGCTCTGCAGCAAAACTGATATCAACAATGCCGAATAAGGGTCATGGGGCTCGCAAGGCATTGTGCTGCAAAGCCCAGCAACAAGCAGGTCGTCTCGTCATCAGTCATAAGTCAATGAAGGCTTCAATTTGAGTCCCGCGTGTCACGCTTTCAAATCAAAGCCTCGTCAGCAAATAATTTCCTGACAACCCTGAAATAACTGCAGTGCAACAGCTCAATGTATCTCACATCCCCATTTTAGGACTTTAGGCCCCTAGAACAAGCCCAAACCCTGACACTCGACCAGAAAGACAACCTGCGCAAGTTCGTTTTCCAGGAGGCGCTGGTACTTGCACTCGTGCCACTTCTGCCTCGGACTTGAAGCGGGGTCTAGGACTTGGATTTAGGGCTTGTTTTCATGAGCTAGTACTTAAGTCTTACAAAGTCACACGACACCGGTACACTTGTTTCGGACCACAGTCATGTTCATTGAAGCTGTTAGCATGTAGTCGTCGTAGTGCTAGCCATTGCGCTAGCAGCGGTGGCGGCAGAGGCAGTAGCACTAGTAACACCGGAAGCCGGAACTGGCGCTGAGCAGTACAGTCGATTGTTTTGCAATTGCAGTCTGAGAAAGGCCTGCGGAGCTTGAATGCCCAGACCACTATTATTTCCTAACTTCTTTCAGCCATGTGGCCATCTACGTTTGGGAACAGAACGCAGCCTCCCGTGCAAGTCCCGTGTCCGACTAGGTATCACTGTGAGACGTGTTAAGAATGTTGAAGCTGTCGAAATATGCCTGAAAGTCATCACCACGTCCCAAGTTCACCAGCGTGTGCGCTGCCAAATTCCACCGACTCCGCGTGCCATTGACGATCGACGCAACATCGAGCATGGCCCTTTCATCTGGATGTAAATGCTGTCTCTAAACTCCAGATCAAACCAATAACTACGCACGTCTCACTAGCCTTATCCACCACTAGCTTCCAAGCCAAGGAACCACCAAGATGTGCCATCCTCCAGCATAGCGGTCTTGGGGAGGTATGCAACGAAGGTGCCAATGTAAGGGTTTGATTCTTTGGTAACAACATCTCTGTGCAAATTCATGCTATGATATGCCCGGGGCCTCTCCCCTAACTCCTCAAGCACCCACGTACATCCTGCATGCCAGGGGTTAGGAAGGGAGTTCGTGTGTCAGAAGCTAGAAAGAAGTCGACTGGATCGTCAGAGCCTGAAGGGGTCGTGCAGGCTGACGAATATTCGTGCTCGCCAAAATCAATCCAGCAATGCACATGTACGTGTGGGGGGCATAAGGGGATATTACTAAATGTATTGCACATTCAGATATATATATATATATATGTATATGTATATGTATATATATATACACATATATATATATATGTTTGTGTCATTAGTTTCTCGTGACACAAGTAAGCAGCCACAGCACAACACCTTTTTTGGCTTCTCCAGGATCCTGCAAAACTTACTTGCGGTTGTAACCAAAGCTTGTAGAAGCAAGCATCATGGTTTCCGGGTTACTAGTTCGGTTGCTAATCCATAAGGAGACGGGCCCGTATGGGGGTCAAAAGGTTAGACTTCGGCGATGGAGTTGAGTCGGGGAGCTCTTTTGAAATAGCAGTTACCGAGTAGTCAGGCACCCAGTAACATCCGGAAAAGCCTCATGGAAGTACAAAACCCTCAGTGCTATGCCGCTACATCCTACAGTACATCCTTACGGAAACACTTGCAGCAACCCCGTAGGTTCAGAGAGGTGGTCCCGTCTATGCTGCCCCGGAGTTGCATTGGCCGTTCGTTGCATGTCACAAGTGAGCCTCGAGCCCGAATTTCCCCGTTCCCTGAGCACAGATCTCCAAAGCAAGCATTGACATTAACCTTCAGCTGTAAAACTTCGCGAATTAACTCCCGCGGCCCATTCGATAATAGTCCGACGCCTGAAAGCAGGAGACCGTGCCGGTGCAGACGGATTCTGTAGGGTAAGTACCCTATCGGCTCCAACACCGTCTCACGTTCGTAGTCTTTGAGCGCAAACGTCTTCAAGAAGGAATCGAGTTAGACTACACCTATAGATAGTTTATAACTCCGTTGAAGCAACCCTCAAAGGAACATGGTTAAAACTGTCAAGGCCGCTGCGCCGAAGCAGCCAAGACAACTCTCTACTAGTCTCCGGCCGCAAGCCCTGTCCAATAAACCGAAGCTGATCGACGGGCGGGTCTAGGGTTTAGGGCGTTAGTACTGAAAATAAGGTTAGAGCAGTATGTATTAGGGCAGAAACCACGGCTGCCGATACAAAACCCACGCAAACAGCGAACACTGCATGTTGAACCGGAAGCGGGAGGGCCTTCCGCAGCTTGCTCTTCTTGGCCTGAAACACCGAGCCATTAAGTTGTCATTATCCTAAAGCCCTACATACCAAAGTCTGCTACATACCAAAGTCTGGTTCATTCCGGGAATCCGAAGCCCAAACCCGAAAGCCGTAAATCCAAAACCTAGGTCATTCGACAAGCGCCTCCCTTCAAGAGGTTACTAGAAAGGTTTCTCATCACCATTCCATAAGGAGACGGGCCCGTATAGGGGTCAAAAGGTTAGACTTCGGTGATTTCTGCGACGGAATTGTGTCGGGGAGCTTTTTTGAAATAGCAGTTACCGAGTAGTCAGGCACCTAGTAACATCCGGAAAAGCCTTATGGAAGTAAAAAAAAACCCAGTGCTATGCCGCTAAATCCTACAGTACATCCTCGCGGAACCCTTGCAGCAACCTTTGTGGTAACCTGTATGGTAACACTCATAGTAACCCTTAGTGCCTTAGTGTCACCTTTCTAGCAACCCTTAAACGGAGCCCAAACGGCTTGATGGTTCCCGGCAGACACTGCATGGGCGAGAGCTTGAGGATTCTGGCTTTGGAAAGACTTCGTGAAGGCACTTTGGGTTAAAAGCACAGTATAAAAGGGTGATGAGGGCTTACGGCTATAATGCTTAGGCTTAGGCTTTAAGGTTTCAGGCTTTGGGTCATTGGGACTGTGCTTTGACACCAAATCTCGCAACAGTTTTGCCTTGCGATCTTTACGATCCTGCATTAGTGGCAACAATCCACTATTACCCTTCAACAAAGCATGCCTGGGACGACGCCGCCGGCGGCACCGGACATCTGGGATCTGTCGAACTGACCCACCTTGCATGCATGTCTTGAGCCCCAAGCTGCACGGCTCAAAGCGGTAGCATGTACCCTGCGGCTTAAGCTTCAAGACATCTTGATCGCAGCTCTAGGAGTCCTACTTAAAAAATGAGAAGGGTTTGGTATTGGCATGGAAGACCTAGAAGGGTTTAAGGATGTGTAAGTCGCGTTATGGAGGCTAGCTTGCAGCTAGCATTTTTATTTCCGGCATGTTGTGCTGCGTCATTGGACCGCTATCTGTGCAAAAGCTTTCATCACCGCAAACCGCGAAAAGTATAAAGCTCACAGATACTGCCGAAAATGCAAGTGAAAGCACCCAAAACAGATCCCAAAACATGTAGTGTTCTCATGACAGCAGTAAGGCTATCAACACCCTTTTTAAGCCTGAACCCTGACCAAAGACCCACCTGCAACGCGAGCAGCGCCTGTTCACACACTGGCTTTCGTGACTTCCATGACCTACGACATTGCCCAACCTCATTTCCGCAAACCCCCCTGGCTGGCACAAGGACGCAGATTGAAAAAAGACATCACATTCATCATGTTCACATGAGGTAGTCAAGGGGGTTTCGATGTTATGTCCAGAAAGCAAGCGAACACGCTTTTTGCCTGGATGTGGAGCTGACCTTTAACCACACTGTGACTAGTGTGTCCACGCCCTCCGGACTGCGGACGAGGCCATCTCTTGAAGATGGTTTAAACAGTTCTCTCGAATATAATGGGTTGAAGGCTGCGACTCTTGTGCCAAGATTATGCTATGTTGCCATACTTGCGGACGACTTACGGAGATCCGTGATCCTTCTAGCAGGTTAGCGCAGATGACCCAGTACGTGCACGTCAAAGGACAGCCGAAAGCGGCGATGTTTTCTATCCTACAGACAGCCACACGACGGCTCGGCAGAAAACTTTAAAAGTCATCAGGCCTGTCCATTAGGAGAAGCCCGCTCTCATCCACGGTGGCACACAGGACCGTGATGGTGGAAGCCCCAACCGTAGGTGTACTATGTTGCAGGCAAATTTTTCTTGGTTTGTGTGCAAACTATGCAACAAGGTCATTCATGTGCAAAGAAGCTCACATGTCCATCGTCAAAACATGGTCTGACACGACAATGCCGTAGGCGTCCTTCCTCGGATGAGTTCTTCAGTCGTCCTGCCCTGTTCGGTTCTTGATGAAACTGTGGCGCTATAGCAATTCCCCTTTACAGTGGCGGCATGCTGCTTTCATGAAACCTGCAGTGCATCGAAAAACAACGATCCAAAGCAGCTTGCCCAAAATTAAGGTTCAGCACCAGACGGTTCTAAACACTGCAAGACCCAAACTATCGAATATACAAGAAATTGAGTGCAAAAACACTGCAATCGCATCCGTTCGGGCTGGAAGACTTGGCTGAAGTGCGGAAGTTTCAAGCATGGCGAAGTGCAGCTGAGCATCAGTGTGGTCGCTGGAACCTCTGGAGCCTGGCTGATGCACAGGCTTCATCAGGATTCCCGGTCGCGATTCTTAGCCCTTGAGCGACCCCAGAGTCGCATCGCGAGCCTTGGCGACGGCGACTAAAGCCATCATGTTCGGGCCCGAAGCTTCTGAAGCTCACAAAGCATCAAATCTTCTTGGGATTCGTGGCCGGTTCTTGGTGTTTGGGGCCAAGGCTTTGGAGACTTTCTGTTTAAGAGCTCGGTGCAGCACAACGAACGGATTTCGTCGGAATGACCCCCCCCTGCAGCAACGCTTAGATCCGTAAACCGACTGGCTCCACGCTTCTTGCACATACGGAAAGCTCGGCCTCCTCTTTCTTCTCCGCCGCGTGCGCGTCTTGACGCACATGCGGGACCACAGGATGTTGAAGTAGGCTGGTTCTTCTGACGGATTCGTCCTCTCAAGCAGGATGAGTCATTGCATTACGGCCAGCGAACAAGGCCGCAAATTCAAATCAACGGTCTGCATCTGCATCTGCACTATGTCTACGTTAATATGTCGCTCTTACAAGAATCGCAGGAGACAAGCATCGAATACACTGGCAATGGCCACCCACGCGCAGCGCGAAACACATCATTCATAGTAACAAGAAGCCCGACACCTCATTGTTTAGGGAATTTTGCAGCTGAACCCCTACAGTAAAATGCTGAAGTAAGCAACATAGTGAAGTGCTGGGGGGAACACACTCCGGCGGTGCCAAATGAGGGGACGAAGGGAGACAGAAACCGCTGGCCTCTGCCGAGCGCTGTGTCCGTTTACAGAACAAAGCAATCTCGTCTGTTTCAAGCCGATAGCTCATCTTTTCTCCAACTCTGTTCGTGTCAAGTTCCTGGGTTTCCTTCGAGCGGCTTGCTTGTTTTCGTGTACAATATCAAGTACCGTTTGCTGAGATTGCTCAATGTTTGTCATGTTCTCTAATCGGCTTCGAACAAGTTCTCTTTCTCATATTCTCTTCTTTATGTCGGATTCTTCAATTTCGTCTGCTTTGCTGCTGTTTCTCGTATTCTCTTGTCTGTCAAGTTCTCTAATCCCTTCGGAATGTTTGCTCCGGTTTCTCAAACGTTATACTCCCATAGCAAACAACTTTCTGAGCTTCTATCCATGTTCAAACTGTTTGGGCTCTTGAAAAACAAACCGAATCCTGCGAGCAAGTTTGCTTCTAGTTCTCTAAGCTGCTTTGAGCGGTTCGCCCCTGTGTCTCAACTTATCCACCCGCTTTCGACTGGTTAGTTCAACATCCCACTCGGGCGGTTCGCGTCTTTTCCGAAGTTGTTGAGACCCTTATCAACTGGATGTTCACAACTTTCTACTATTTTTAACTCCTTTTCGAACGCTTGCTCCTGTGTTTGCGATTGTGTGATGTTTTCGATTGGTTTGATCCTTCTTGCTACATTTTCCTCTTTGTTAGGCTCTTGCGTCTCTTTCGGCCGGTTGGTTCTGTTTCACAAACTTCTAATCGCATGCGACTGGCTTGCTCAACCTGTTCCTTTCTGTCAAACTGCCAAATATCTTTAAACGGTTGGCTTCTTTCTCGTTTTGATGAACATCTTCTACTCGGTTTCGACTGGTTTGCATATCTCTCAAGTGTCTACTCGTTTGCTCCTCTTTCCAAACTGCTCCTTTTCGTGAAGTTCTCTAGTCTATTTCAAGCACTTAGTTCTCCAGTCTCTTTCAAGCACTTGGAGTCTTTCCAATCTTTGACTGGCCATTTTTTCTCTGAATTTTCCATTGATATGCTCCTCTATTTCGAGCGGCTTCGATTGTGATTCTGGAACTTTGGATCAGATTGCTCCACTACCTCGATATTATCACTGCTTTTCCAAATCCCAAAATCTCTTTCAAGCTGCTTGCTTGCTTTCCTACCTTCGGTGGTTTTGCATCACATTCGAACGTTTTGCACATTCCCTAGAAACTTTCTACTTGCTTGGTTCACTCCCCTTTCGATACAATGTTGTAATAGCCTTCGACCAGCTCGTTCCTGCTCCTGAAAACCTTATCTTGACAAGATTCTCTGGTATCTTTCAAGCAGCCCGCTCATGATGTTATCAATGTTGTAATCCCTTTCGGCAGGGTTTCCTCTTCTTTGCCAGACTTTCTGGCGTCTTTCAAGCGCTCGGATTTTCCAATCTCTTCTCGAGCGGTTTGCGCCTTCTCCGAATCTCTTTCGACCGGCTTTCCGCCTTGCTCTAACTTCACTCATTGTCAAAGTCTCACACAGTTTCTGCAGTCTTTAAACTTCTAATTCTTTTCAGGTGCATTTCTCCTCAAGTTGTGCTCATTGTCAACCAACCTCCCAAAACATTCTCGAGTGGATTCTTCCGTCTTTGAAACTGTCTGGTCCTTTGCGGCTGGTTGGCTTCTCTTTCTCAAAGTCTCTAGTTTTTTCGAATCATTGCTCCGATATCGAAGGTTTCTAGTTTCTTTCGACTGGTTTCGAATCTCCTTCCAAGAGTTGGTGCCTGTTTCCAAATTTTGCACGGTCCCGTTGGTCGGGCTTAACCTGAATAGTCTCTTACGAGCTGTTTCTTGCTGATTCTCAACTTGTCTTTGAAGTGGTCTTCTCCAAAACTCTCTTGTTGAGAATGCTGCAATCACTTTGAAGCAGTTCGCTTTTGCTTTTCAAATTTTCTAGCAATTTCGACTGGCTTGTTCCTTTTATTTAATCTCTCTGCTTTGTCAAATCCTCCAGCCTTTTTTGATGAGTTTTCTTTCTCTGGTTCTCACCACGGTAATTTCGATCGGTGTGCTTCTCAGTTCCAAATGGTCTCGAATTCCTCATTCTAACTCGAGCGACTGGTCTGAATTGGAGCAGTGTCCACCCCCACAGGTCCTAAATGAAGGAAGACAGCCGGAGGCCAGCATGAAAACAGCAGCCGCAGAATGAAATAGGATGAAACTTAGGCACCCTCCTCGACATCACAAGAATCCCTGTAGTACACTGTGTTGGGAAGCATATACGTTTACATGTACACACACACACAAAGACGTTCGTGCATACCCCTACATACGAAGATGCGATGCCTCGCCAACAAGATCAAGCTTTCAAAATCAGGCTTCCAAACTTGTCAAGCTCTTCTTTCTATAAGAAGGTTAAGTTGCTCAGGAAAACATACTTAATGCTTTCACTCACGTCTACCGGAACCTCTACGAGAAGCAGGTTCATGTGCCACATGCGTGTGTGCGCGCTTTTTGCCCGCCCCTGGTTGCAATCAGCACTTTAGGATGGATCGAAATGATCGAAATCAAGGCTCGACATTCAGCAAAGCCCCTGACCCAGACCCTTGTGCACGGCAGTTGACGTTTTCTCATTCTTTCAGCAAAGCCCCGAAGTTCAAACCCAAAACCAAATGCCCGCCAAAGCTTACAGCGTATCCTGACCCCTCAAGCCGAAATCGCGAATCCCCAACCCAAAATGTTAACAGGTTGCGTCCTTCGGGGGTTCGGGTTGTGTTTAGACCCGTGAAAATTCGCAACGTTGACACGCGCAAAGCCCATCCTTGAAGCGGAATCGCCGGCAAAGCTCATCTGCCTGTGCACTGAGCACCTGACTGATTCTTGCAAGCATGCTGCAAGGCAAGTGGCTTCAGCGGCGCACATGCGATATTGCGAACCATGCTGGCTGTCGTCACCGTTGTTGTAGTAAGTCGAAGTTGTAGAAGCGCCAGGCTTGTTGATGAGAAAAAGCCAATGTGAAGAGCACCGGCCACTATGGGACCGGCGATACTCAGAGTGGCTCACTACATCGTCTTGGTTCAGCAAGATCAGAGAAGTAGAGTTGTCTCTCAAACCTAGGTGGAGATATCGAGTCGAGCTTGGATTTCAAGAGCACATGACGACAATGATAGCAGCTAGCCATCTTCAGCACCCAGCAATCAACCTTGAAACCTTGCGCAAAGAAATTCCTCAAACACAGAGGCTCTAGACCCCACAGCCCAGCCCCACACCCCTAAAGCACTGACTTGGAAGTTCCCATGTCTCAAGCCGGCCTTGCTCGAGACTTGTGGGCTAAATGGCAGGGCCAGGATGTTTACCACTCGTCGGACCTCAGGCATCGGGGCGAGCGTTTGATCAACACTCGAAGCTGATGTGAAACCCATTATGAACCCATGTGCCGGCCAAAACTTACTGTAACCGTACGATTTTTCAGGGGAGCCACACCCGCTTAAACACCGATGTTATCATCGGACACCTCCTGGAACGAGGGCTGAAATTCTTTAGTACCGGTTGCTGTCGCTATTCCGTTTTTGCCCCTTCCTGCCAGAGGACCATACCTTGGATACTGTCGAATCTCAATGATAATACAGATACAGAAGGCCCCTGCCACGAAAAACCCATTCTAGTGAAAGCCACTGGGTTTAGGATTTCAATGCTCGCATGGGTATTGGGTTTAGGGGCTTTGGGCTCTCCTTAAGCTGGGGAGGAGGCTGACTGCTCCAGGTTCTTCGAGCCCTTGTCCACGAGCGCCTGGAAAAGCAAAGGGGACGTCGACTTTCCGCAATTCAAGATACCTCACACTAAGAAGTGAGGCACTAGACTCCCTGAGCAGTATCCTTGAAGAGAGGGACCCGTACGACCCTTCTATTATGCAGGCCCTTAGAGGATTGAAACCAGTAAGCCGTAGAGCAGCATGCCCTGCGCCCCAAAGCCAAGCTCCAGGGTTGAGCGACACCCAAGCTCTCGAAGTCTGGGCACGATGCCGACTAAAGAAAAAACACAGCTCAACTCCATACCCGAACTACTGGACGGGGTTGTTATCTGTTTCTTGCGACCCGAGCTCCAGCTGGAGGGGCGGCGGGCAGGTGTACCCAAGATGAGAAAGGGGCTCGCGGGTGTTGGGGAATCATATCTGCTTCTTCATAACCGTCATCGCCATGTCCAGTTCCATCTCTCTTTGTCGCTGCGCTTGCCACTGCTTTGTGGTTCTGTGGGGGGCTATGCAGGAAGCAGCTTCCCCTTCGACCGCACTGTCCAATCAATCGCCGAGCAACAACCCGGATAATCATCACAAGGATGAATCCCCGACTCTCTCTCTCTCTCTCTCTCTCCCAGTTTCGCCAGCTGCTGGCACAATTCGAAACTCCGATCCTCACCACTTGGCCCGGTCAGCTGCGATCAAGCCACTCAGCCCCAATCATCGTCACCATCACTTCTACACGTGCCAATCTTGTAAATACATGTGGGCATGTTGGATCCCGGCGGCAACGACACCACAACCACTACTACTAAATTACTACGACGACTGCTACTTCTGCTCTTTCTCCTCCTCCCACTCCTGCTGCTTCTCTGGCCGATATCTTCGTTGGCTTTTGTGGGCCGCCTGGAAATAGTTCGCGGAGGGGAACTCAAAGCTCTGGTCCGCAATAGCGCTCACAATCTCCAGTTGGTCGGTGAAAGCGGTGTCCACAGCCTGTTGGCTCAACGGATTGGGTTCGCACCCGAGTTCATGATCTTGAGGGGCAATTTTTTTGGGGTTTGGGGTGTGGGTGGCGCGCGAAGTAGATGTGCGCATGCGCTTCGGGTTGCTGCTTCTGATTCCTTTTTGGGAACCCTTGGCATGAGGTTCAGTGAGGAAGGGAACAGGAATTTGCCCCCAACCTTCTGGCACGAAAGTTAGGGTAGAACTCCCCAAGCCCGAATGCCCGGTAGTTCACAACCGCAGTGATCTGAACAGGAATCTCGATGTGATCTAGGGATCGAGGACTTGTCAGCCTCGAGCATGGCCAGGAATGTCTCATCCTGCAGGATCCCGCCGCTCAACACCACCAACATGTACTGTGCTGTCCTCGGCTGTCTTGACCGTCCAGAAAAACTTTTGACCAAGCACAGCCGCTCGGCCGCTAGGCCTCTGAGAAAGACTGTTAAAGCAAATCAGTTTTGTGGAATCCTCAAGTTGCATTGGATCATTGCCCATGGCATACAGGGGTAAAGTGACAGCAAAGGATTTCCGGGCGCTTCTTCCAGCATACAAGAAGTACATTCCGCATGCGGAAGACCTTCAACGCAAGCTACGTTTACTGAGTTCACTATGAGCGGCAACTATGTCGAGTCACACAACCTGCCCTCCAGTATCTTCCTCGCACATGCCAAGCACCGGCAACCCTCATTGTTGCGTCGCGGTTCGCACTGGCTTGAACCGCATCTTCTGGACTGCACACCAACACTGCATTTCTTGTAGTCCGGTGGATGACATTCTCAGCCAAAACCTCCAGAAACAACAAGTTGGGGGATGAGAATCGGGCATGAAACAAACGCGATATCTCTATATATATATATATATATATATATATATATATATATATATATCTATATATATATACACATACATACATACATACATACATACATATGTGTATATATATATATATACACATACATACATACATATGTATATATATATATATATATATATATACATATATATATGTATATGTAGATGTATATATGTATACACACATGTGTCCCTGGGCTTCTTTGTCCTTAAGCCTTCGCCCTCCTCAAGAAGGTGGACTCATCGCTTAGAGATACAGTTCCTGGGGCTTTGGAGGTTCTCCGCCAAACTCTGACAACAACAACTCTCATCTGTAAGGCCTCTTATATACACTTATAGCCTGCATACATGTTCGGCAGAATTCCAACCGAAAGACACTGGTCAAAGCAACGTTCGTTGCCAATTCTACCACGCCTTGCCGGAACCTCGAAGCATCCTCCAAACCTTCAACAGCCTCACAATTCACTATCCACAGCGCCTGGCAAGTGAATTTGCCTTCGGAGCTGCTCACAGCACCGAGGATGACGATATCGGCCTGCTTGTCGGCCTCCTGGAGACATTTTGTCTTTTGGCTCTACGCCTGCTATGTGCAGTCAGGAAATGCTAAACACGAAGTGTTCGGGGCCTGAGGGGTCGTAGTACCCTCTGGTCGGGCAATTCTCTGGGCTGTCCCCGTGCGAAGCTTTCGAGTCAGAAGGTTTGTACTTCAGAAATCACATTCCGGACCCGGGTGTGATGAGTACCGGAAAATGCAAGCCCAAATCCAATTACTTCGCTTAGATAAGCATCTTTCGGAAAGAGGACAGGGCACCAACACCAGGTCGGAGGGGCACCCCGTTCACGATCTTGAATGTGCTCGCATCCCTTGACCCCCCCTCAAACCCAAATATACGTAGAGCTTAACAAGCACGGAGCAGCATGCAGGATCCCTGAAAACATTTCCCACTCGAACCCCGGTCTCTACCTGCCACTTGTCTTTGCACTTGCGTGCGGTTCCAAGCATGGAAAGCATGGACTCTGCCTCGTCCGCCTTTGGGAGATTGTGCCTGAGAGACACTTCCAGAGAACTGAGCCCTCTTCGGGGACGAAAAACCATTCGAAACCCCAACCCGACGCAGATGCAGCTTCAGGACGAGAGACTCATTGGAGTTCAGGTATTGAGGCTGTGTGTTGTCTCCCCGCTAACTCCGGATTTTGCTACATTGCCGTCCTACTTCTTTCGACCTGGACAATCAGTTGCGGCGGAAGCATTCTCTGCAACCGGAAACATCAGCCGGGCATCTTCAAGATGGTGGCCACAGCTTCTTGGTGCTTTCCTCGGTCGGAACGACGCATCCCTCAACTTCTTCCATAGCTTGGGACGAGAGGCGGCTGAGTGAAAAGTGATGCCTTGGAAACCCCCCCCAAGTCAGGCGGCCAGTGGACTGAGATAGATCGGGAGTCTGCCAAGGGCTTCCGTCTTACTTCTTTCTGCTAAGTTTTAAACCCGAGGCTCCCTAAACCCTGCAGGCCGATGCGCTTCAAACCCCCGGGCCCGGCGTCCCGGCGTCCCGGCCCCGGGCCGGGGGGGGGGGGGGCAATTGTGCAAAGAGTGTGGAGACTTCGAATCCCCAAGCGCGAGCACGCGCATCGTCTCACGGCGGGACATCTTCTGGAGATATGATAGCTCTGATAGAAGCTCTGCCGCAGCTTTTCGACGGAGTTATGCTTCGGGGCTTAGGGTTGCTGGGTGACCTCGCCCCCGAGCGAATTCCGAAGAAGGCTCTGAACCATGGTGCCTTGACAATCGGCTTGGGGCGGTATCGTGGAATGTTCACAAAAGTCGAAGCTCCAGCCATTTCATCACCGCTCTAGTGAGTATATGGCAACCTCACTCAGAGCACTTCCGACCTGGCTTCAAAGCTCTTAGCTCCTTGCTTAGGCTCAAGTAAAAGTTTTCACCCCAAAAACCTCTGACAATTTGGCAGGCAGCGCAGGGTCCCGTTGGCATCGAAAGGTATCCTGGTCACAGACTGTAGTCGCCGATAGCACTCCTTCAGAGTTGAATAAGGCATTCTCGGGTTCAAGACGTTTGACTAAAGGCTGTCTCTCTCTCTCTCTCTGCATGCATCTGTGTAGTGCCGCGAGGCAGTGCTTCACATTCAGCATTTTGTGTGGATGCAGGGAATTGTAATCAGCGGGCGTTTCCTTCACCTGGCAGGAACATGTGGTGTCCTCCACCACTCCGGGATCGATTGCGTTCTGCGCGAATATCATGATGTCGGCACTGCCCCAGCCTGCAACAAGCTGTGCCAATATCTCGAATTGGAAGCACCGTGCAGGACGAAGTTTTACGTTTGGAGTCCCTGCTATCTACTGTTCAACAACTCGTGAAGAAAGGCGCTTCGGGACTTGGCTTAACTTATTCTAGGCAGCAGCCAGTGCCACCCACTGCACTCTTCACGATGATCAATGTTCACAGGTACGAAAAGTCAGACTAAACGTCCAACAGGAAGCATGACCTTATCGCACACATAGCTTTGTCGCAGCCATTCCTCCGTTACATACAGATCTGCCCTGAAAGCCATGGATAAGGACACGCTGCTACGCAACAGCCAACCCTACGTTGCAGTGGTGAGCTGCCCTCGGTTGAGTCTCGTCCTCGCAGCCTCAAACCGAACGCGATTCTGACTTTGTTTCCAGCGCCTTCACGCAAGGCCCTAAAGCCTTCCTCGTCGTAGTGGCTGAAGTTGTTGCACTCTACCTGGAATATCTAAAGAAACGCGACATCTTTGCTACATCATGCGATCTCGATGCCAGTTCCTGAACCGTTTCATCCTCTGATCCGGACTTCCGGGTGTGCTGACTGCCCATACCAGAATAAGGCCCTTACATGCTATTGTTTCTGTCTCCGCAGCTTTTTGGTCTTGTCTCGCCTTCTCATTGTTACAACTGCCGAGGCACCATCACAATGTCGATCTTGTTGTTGACCCCGCTGGTGATTTCCACGGCACACCAGGGTCGGGACAGCACGGATTTCGTCGCAACAATGACCAGTGTGCCAGTCTGACTTTTGACAATGTCACCGATGTCCTTCGTTGTGGTGCCAAACATGTTCGGTGATTGAGAAGAAAGTCTGACGTGAGAAGGCCGGCATCGTCGAGCACCAAACAGAAAGCTCTCGGGAAAGCTTAAACTTAAACCATCTTTTAGCCAAGTTTCTGCCAATCCCTCAAGTTCATCCTTGGCTCCCAGCAATTCGAGGTCTAAGGTTTCGCGCACCACTTTCGGGCTCAGAGGACCTATGCCAGCGAAGGAATGCCAAGGACCATGTCAGGACGCTCGACCACGCAAAAACTTAAGGCGAAGTGCCAATGGACGCATGTCTCCTCATACTCGCACCAACGCAGAATCTACAAACCCGCACGAATTCTTGGACGACGGGGCAACAGTTCGAAACCCCTGTGCAGGCAAGGCTCAGAGTCCAGGAAGACCTTTGCTCTGTTTTTTGACCTGACATCGCTTGCTTCTGTCTGGAAGATACTTAATTCGGGTTTAGGGTAGAAGCTGAAGCTCAGAAAAGGCAACCTTGCCCTTGCTCGGTGTTTGAAACCCTAGAATGTCTAGATTCCCTGAGGAAGTCGCAGCCTCTCCTTTTGCCCACGCTAGTCCGGAAACCCAACAGATTTCGCCCAGGCTCTAAGCTTTGCGACGAGAGGCTGTTTCAGCATCTCAGTCTTCAACCATCGGCAAAGTGTTCCTGCACCTGCTAGGAAAAGTCTTGATACTGGAATCAAGGGCGTCTACAAAGGGGCTTAGGAAACATATGCCTGCAGCTCGAGCTGCCTGCAAACCCTCCCCCCTTTTTCACCAGACCTCAGGCAGACGCTGGAACATGTCGTGCCAAGTGCCGCCAAGCAAGCACAGTTTCAGTAATGACTTAATCCTCGCACGAGCTTAAGATCGGAAGCAGTTCGTGTACTTTGGATTTGCTGCAAGGACTGACGGTCCCTAGCAGGCTTGGGCTCCGCTGCACAGCGGCCTGTGTCTAAAGCCTCAACTAAGGGAGTAGGGTTCTCGGACTGGGACATAGACCGTATCCGTTGACATGCTTAAGCGTAAGCAACCGTTTCGAATGCGTCCCTCGACACTAGCGGTCGCCGTCTCGAAACTGCCCAGCGAGCCTAATATCTTTCTACATACAGGATACTCCTCGTTGCCCGCTCGTATTTTCTAGAGATACACCAATACTAGGCGCACAGCTCAACGAAAGGGTATAACTTCGCCATGATCTACATGTATGTGTATATATATATATATCTAAACATGCTGCATGCGAATGTATGTCTTGGGCTCTCTTGGTCCCACACTCTGATGCTGCTCCGAAGCTGGAACTGAAAAACCTGTTCGGGGCCTTCATAGTTAGAGTTCAGAATGTGGCTTCCGTCAGGCCCTCTAAAGCGCGGCATATTCGTTTACAGATATAAGGTATACGGACCGAAATGAGCAGAATAGGGACCGCTAGACCTTCTGTCAACAGCGACCCAAACTAAACTTGCGTGTTCGCCTATTACAGCTCGAAGCAGCTCCCAAGCAGGGGCCAGGTGGGCTTTGCTCTTTAGGTGCCGGGTTTGGGATTCCAGGGTTCAGGGGCTTTCGCAGCTCTCCATGCCATTGCCCTGAGGTGACCTGAGGATGGAAGGATCGAAATTCTCAATGCCGACATGTGCCAGCTTTACTTCATTGGTAAAAGGAGCCGTATGAAAGCGTCCCGCAATTACGAGCTTTTTAAGTCTCTGGGTGTGGGGCTGTGACTCGAAGCAGCCCTACAGCGTGAACCCGAAAGCCCAGCTTTCTCGAGGGCTTCGGCAGGCTCCCAACCTGCTTTGTGATGGCAGAGGAAGTAGTCGTACATCTTGCCTTGACGGTTGGCAATATTCCGGCGGGCCAAACTTTGAATTCATCTCGTTTGCGAGGTTGTAGTAGTCGGGTTCTCTGCAGTTTTGGTGTATGGCCATGAGGAATATTTCAAAGTCTCCGAAGTGCTAGTTGGAGCATTCGTAGGCTTCGGCGCAGCTTAACACGAAGCGAGCAGGCGATCCGGGTCTGGAGCTTTCTTGGCTTGAAAGTCTCGGGCCTTTGTGTAAGGCAAGGTTACATGTGTTCATGCACCAAGGAGCTGCTGCTGAGGTGATGTGCTGCAACCACGCAGACATGAGTAAGATGCAGCACTAGACCTGAGGCCCTGCATATCGGCGGCCCAAAAGCTTGAACCGCCATAGTAAGTCGAGATCTAGGAACTTGCAGCAATGCCCATATCACCACTGCGGCAATTTTAGTGACAAGCTCGGGCCATGCAGGAGCCCTGGGCCTCGGTTTTTGTAGGCACATCTCGGGCTCGGCTCGGCAGTTTTCACAGCAATCTGAGTCGGGGTGTCGCCTGACGTTGGCATCTCTCGGTAGCGCCGCGCGTTTTCGGCGAGGTGCCCGGGAAGAGCTTCTGGTACACTGCGTAGCCCGCCAAGGAGGAGATGCCAAGGCAGATTTTCAGGAGCATGATGACGAGGATCACGCTCAGCCTGCTCCTGGCCAAAGCGAAAGTGCCGGATCGGCGCTGGAGTCGACTCTGAGTGCTGAGTTGTGCATATTATATACACATATATACACATGCATACATATATATATATATATATATATATATATATATGTATGTATGTACGTACGTATGTGCATTGATCTCTGCTCCTGTTATGTATGTATGCATGTATGGGTAGTAAGTGTAAGTACCGCACATGTCTAGATAGCACAGCCTCGCGCAATGGATGCTCGTGTCAAGAAGCCACTATGCCCCCAACCCAAGCAACACGTCATACCCTCAAGCCTAAACCTCAAGCCATACTCTAATGGCTCAACCCTTACACCCTGTCTCTCGCTCTCTCTTCCTTTGCCTCTCCTACCTAAGCTCTCAACCGAAAGGAATGCCCCATAGAACCGTGTAGCATCTCGTGAGCCCCTTTAATTGCAAACCCTTCGATCCTCACTAGAAACCCTAAAGCCAGAGTCCTGCTGTCGCGGCCGGCAGAATCTGAAAGGAAGGCAGCTATCAGTAGCATCAGCCTAAACGTTGCTTCGGTGTATAAATTGACTCGTAGGGGGGGGGGGCATGTATACGATTGGTGCTTGTGTAGACGGTCTTCTTGGTTGGAAACGAGGCTTTGGAGGGCATCGGCGTTCTTTCTCTTCACCAAACAACGAAGAAAGCGTCCCAACAAGCGTCTTGAAGCATCAGCCCCATGTTCAGGAAGACGTCCGCCAGATTGGCCAGGACTGTTGCCCATGGCTTGACGTGGCAGCACGTCGCTAAGTATATCACCTCAGTACCGCTCCAGCATCGCAAAGACACACGTGACCGAGCCCAAATCCGAAAGATCCACAAAGCAAGACAAGACACGACCGGGAGACGAGCTGGCACCCTTGTAATGGAGGCTTTAGCTTTACCCCGTCCTTCCGACTTCACAGAAAAGCAACGGGATTGCACAAGAACCGCACGCTCTTAGAGGGTCCACAATCGAGGAGCCCTCGAGTTGACGTAAACCCGATGATGGGAGCGGATGCAACGATTACAGGCCCGGCTTCTCGAAAGCAACAGAATACGATCCTAGCTCATCACCCTCTGAAATAGGACAGGAAGAGGGATTGCGGTCGCTTCTGCAAACGAGGTCGCCATCAGCAGGGACAGAAGCATGATCTGCACGATGGCGCTGTCTGCAAAAACGATCGGCACAATCGCCACAAGGAGCTTTTGCAGTATGAAGTAAGGACCTGAGCGCAAGGCCGCTGTTGAGAAGTGCGTATGGGCTGCAGGATATTGCGAGGACTGGTCAGAAGTAGTAGATATCTGGGCCTTGTCCAAAAACGACACTTGGTCTGTCGATCTGTCCAAACGGAACGATGCAGTCGCTCCATTTTCAATACACATGCGTGTTTTGTGTACCAATATGCAAGCCTTGCGAGATACTGCCACCGCAGCCGTGACACTCAGGCGACTAGCAGCAAGGAGTAATGTGAAAGCTGAGCATGCTGGGTGCCGAGAACCCCTTAAGATGACGATGACTCCGAGACCCCAAGCGTTTAGCATGATGATCTCCAATCCCTTATCTCTGGGGACAGCCATGTCGAGACCTCCCGCAGAGCCTACAGACAAAAGGCAAAACAAAGCCTGAAGCCTGTTTGCCCTGTGTCTGAGAGTTTATGTACACGCATCAGCTTGTGATATGCCTACACTACTTAAATATGCGAGAACGCATATAGCTCAAAGTCTAAGCCTTTGCACATGAATGACATGCAGATTCTTACGCACCCACCCGCCCACCCACCCCCTGCGTCTACATTCCAACCATTCAGAAACTTAAGATACTTAAGATGCTGTTGGCCAGGTGGCCCCAATAGTAGGCGTGGCTCCCAAAGCGGTTGAACCTCGGCGAGGCAATTGGAGTCGAAGCAAACAGTCCCCGCGCCAAGGACTGGTTCAGGACCGTTCCAATCAAAGCTCCTTATTCATGAAAAAGGGCCATATAACAACACATATGAGAGTAGCGCAGCGATACATCCTGCCTCACTACCATAGCACTAAGACCCCAAACCAAGCAGACCTCAACCGCGAGTTCCGTTGAACCCCTCAGTTCTTCTCCTGTTCCAGTGTTTCAGGTTAGTGAAGGATGACCGTCGCCGCATGGCGACCCCTTCCGTGACTCTTCATGAGTCTCCAGCCTCTCCAGCAACGCAGCCCCGCAGAAAGCCGAAGCTAGAGTAGGAAACACTCGCATCGGAAGTTCACTGAGCTGTTTAAGCTGAGCCATCTTCACAGTCTCAGTTCGATATCACTAAGCCGGCTCTTGAACCCGGAACAAGGTGCAGGGACCGAAGGCGGCCTTGGGCGGAAGCTCCGAACCCTAAATTGTGCTCGATGCTTACGGACTCGCGGCACAAAAACGTCGACTTTCGTCGCAAAAAAGCAGCAAATTTTGAGGTGTAGTGAAGATGAGGAGCAAGAAGTGATACTGTGTCAACAGCTTCAACCCGTGGCCAGTGTCCACCAGAGATGGATATCGCCAAACCACCTCAAGCAATAAGCGGTTTGGCACTGCTATCTAGGACGATGGGCAATTTTCAAGCTGACCTACTTCCGCTTGATGCCTCCTTGTGCATCTGTGAGACCAAAGGCCTTTAGAGCTTGTGGTGCCGGGGGTTACAGGAATTTCAAGCGTCTCAAAGTAGGGGCGGGCCCTACGATGAGGATCCTGGTCTTCTTGCGTAGTCCATCTCTGAAACTCACTCCTCTGAGGACTCTGAGGACTATGACCCATTTTTTTGCCCTGAACTTTAAACGCTACCGCCACACGGCAGGATGCGCGATGCAAGGACCCTTCTTTGAGGACATCTACACTGCACAGGAATCCTGTATGTATTGAGCAAAATGAGAAACAATAACAACTATGATCATAGTATTACTTCTGATACTAGTAACAATAACATAGGAAACATTAATCTCTCCAAGCTCCCGACCTGCATGATGTAGGCAAGAAAGCCCAATCCAAAAACCGTCAATCCGACAATCGCTTCAATCGCTGCCGGTGTGTGAGAATCCTGGGTGCTGATGTTACAACTGGCCTTGCGGCAGTTGAAATTTGGGATTCTGTATGTGGTGTTCAACACTCAAAGATGCAAAAATGATCTTCAACAGTGACCAAGACGCTGTCCAGCAAACTTGGGCAGGGAAAGATTTCATGCTCTGGGTGCCGTTGGGGTTCGACACGCAGTGGATCGGGCGAGACAAGGCCATGCACACAGCGAGGTAGCCAAACATCACCAAGAGTCCCACCACATTCCTGTGTTGCTTCAAGCTAGGAATCTCCAGCTTTCAAGAGGAACAAAGCTTCATACTGATAAATACACAATCGACACATCCTGCAGAGCCTGCGCCAAGAGGCAGATAGCGTGGCCAGCTGAAGGACTCGCCCTTGTAGCGGGACAGCATCCAGCCCATGAGACCGCCGAGCATGCAGAGCAGCGGTAGCGTAAGCAGAATCCTGAATCGTGGGAAATGAGACAGAATAAGAAACCTGCATGTCACTGTTGCATCGTACGTGTTCGGGTGTCGCGTAATCTCGACGGGAAGAGCGCGTTGTGTTGCGCTTTTCGTCCTGACCCTTCCTCCCTCGTCGTGGGTTCTCTTTTTCGTGCCAAGCGTCATCAGCACGGAGAGCGCCGGGTCCTCGTTCCCCACCTGAGAGAAAAGTATCACAGGAAGTTTTGCAGATCCAGCTCTGCAACGAAAGTCCTGAACTACCGCAACTCCAACAAACACCATTGCTCGAAGATCGCAACATCCCAAGACAAATGTCACTGTCAGTCCCAAGCCTGCTAGATGCCAACATCGAACGTTTCAGCCCCCTGCAACCCCCAGAAAAGCAGATAGAAGGTGCTCTATGTTGGTAGATGTAAGGTTGTGCTGAACCTAGTTTTGTTGGAGTGATCGAAACATGCACCTCCTTGGAAACGAGATGACGGCTCTGAACAGCCAGACTTAAGCCTGAACGATTCAGGAGCCCTTTGCGTCCTCAAAGCCAAACCTCTCCTGAGCCCGAAGAGGTAAGCTCTACCCAACTCCAGGGGCTGGAGAACGCCGCCAGCCCTCAGCTAATTAATCGTTGCAAAACACGAAGATGCTCTTATTATTGATGCTGGACAGCTGAGAGTAAGGGCTTTTAGGTTTCGCCTCGAACCCGAGCCGAGGTGCCATGCATTGGATTCTGAGGATGGAAAGGTCCAGGTTCACCAGCTGCATCAGCTCCAGGAGGGTCTTCACAGGCTCTTCCCAAACCATGGTCAGGTCTGAGAAGACGCCTCACTTCCACCCAGAAAGGCATCCCGGAGTTTGCTGCTGGGGGTTGAGTGCTTCAGGTGCTACATCCTTGAAGCAGCTTCTTGCGTGTGCTTGTGTCCGCGGGGTGTGCTTTCGAAGTTGCTTCTGCAACGAAGCACGGGCTTGAGCAGGAGCTGTTAACCGACCTGGAAACCACTACAAGTCCGCTGCAATTTGAGGACTCTGTGCTCAGCCGCTGACACGCATACTGCTGACATGTCCGTCGTGACTGCATTGCACAAACCCTCGACTCCAACCATCTCTTTCGGGAAGTTTCACACAATATGAAAACATATGTGTGCGAGCTTGTGATTGAATGTGGCAGGGGGACGGACTCTCTCTCTCTCTCTCTCTCTCTCTCTCTCTCTCTCTCATGGCAATGAAGGGGGTCTTGTTGAATTTAGCTTCCATCAATAGAAAGTGCCTATATGACTGTGTGCAGCAAATGCTTCCTACAGATAACCACGGACGACCCAGCCATAGACGGCATCGACTTCCTGTCAATGAGTTCTCAGTGCCGGTACTTCGTTCAGCATCACATGCAACACTAGACGACGAACCCTCGAAATCAGGTGCCCGGCAGATGCAAATTCGTAGCAACTGCAGACAGGATTCCAAGTGTCTGTACCAAGACCTGGGCCATAGAGCAGGACACAGCATGAATCACGTGCTTGCGACTGGCGTGAGCCCTGGGTGCTTCATTCTGGGTGGGCTTGCGCTACTGTTGATCTGTTGCCAATCCTCAGCATAGACTGCGCAAGTCATGTCAACCGTAAACCGACGAACTCATCGGTAGAAGGCAGGAGTAGTCGGGCTGTCGTTGACTGAAGCCAGAGAGCCTCAAAGACCCCACAACCAACAAGACGCAGTCAGGTTTTTTTAAGTGCAATGGACCTTTCTGCGAAATGATCCAGCCAAAGTCGGCTTACACTACAAAGAAGGCTGCCCTCAGAACATGTAAACCAGGGTTTGCGGGAGCTCATGAGAACCACTAGGGGCACTCCCTCAGAGAGACATGACACCAACTTCAGCGCTACTTACTTCTCCAAGAAACAAACCAGCTCACAACGACAGAATCGCCCTGCAAAGACTCTTCGTGCGAAGGCACTCCCGCTTGAGAGAGGATGATCCCCAAGGACAGCACCGCTTTGGAATTCTTCGTAAGGTGTGATCGCCTCACTTCTCACTTGTCGATGAAGGGATTGAAGTCTCCGAGCCCTATCTTCTAGTTGCAATCGATACTCACGGTTTAACAGTTGCGGGCATTGATTCGTCCGGTAAAGTGCCAAGGCCTCACCACGTACAGCCACTCACCTTCACCTCCTCGGGGCATAATGCCGGAGACAAAGGCCAAAGGCATGCATTCATTCGCTGTAAGGTCTGATTTGTCAATGCGAAAACGCGGCACGAGGCCCCTGTGCATGAACCAATGGAGGACGCTGAGGTATGTGCCGCGAGCCAAACCATATCTCGACAGTCTCTTGACGACCAGCATCTGTTCAGCAATGGTGATGAGGATGCTCACCAGTTTTAACTGTTTCCCGCTTGCCACTTATCCCTACTGAATTCTCAGAGCTTCGGTCGATTAGATGATGGGTAGCTCTACCGAATTTAGGAAAGAAGCACCAAGCAGGCAGTGTCGCACGACACATCCGTGTGGTTTCCCCATCAAGCTGGCAGGGGTTTCGAGCAATTGCAGCACCCCAAGACATGTAGGCAGCCCGGGTGCATTCTGATGGACACAGCGATGGCCACGAGGACGCATGCAGTCAAGGCGAGAATCCCGGGCACCATGTCCGTAGATTCGCATGGGATGCCTGAGAGTGGCTACGTTCATGCTCTTCAGCCTTGTACGTTGGGGGTCTGGAGACTTCGGAAAAATTGCCTGACAAACTCACGTCCACAGGATTTGTCAGAGCGGAGGTAAGGATCCGGCAGGTTCCTTGGTCGCCGCCGTGGTAGTTGACCTTGCAAAGGCCGCAGGCGACATCCTCAGTCCAGGGAAGGGCCCGCTCTGTCGAGGCACCCCACCCAGAAATTCAAGTTCAGACCTCCTGGAACAACACTTCGTTCGACAAAAAACCTGTCCGTTCTCCGCACTTGTCTCGAGACCGGACTAGACTTCTCTGAAAACACGTGAAAGCTGGGATCGGACTTCCACGGTGGGGGCTTCAACGACCTTCAGATTAAACTTCCATGCTGCGCAAAGAAGATTGATTCATGCATCAGCCCTTTGCCGGTTGCATAAAGGATGCATCTCTAAGCTGAAACCTGATATCTCCAGAAAGCTTGAACTGTGCCACTTAACTTCTGCTGGTGCACCCGACGCCCACTTGCGCAGACCTCACCCGGCGGGCCACCACGACAATGGAACTCGCTCGCACAGGTGTACCTTGGTTCCGATGGTTTTGCATCCAGTTTGTCTCGGCATGAGGGCTGCCGGCTACGAGGCCTGCCATTGTTCACTGAGGAGCAGGTGCAGCAGCATGCTAGGTGTGGAAAGAGTAAGTGTTCTGCAAGCAGCTTTCGCATCCTCCTGCCGTTGAACGAAAACACGTTCGAACCCTCCTGGCTAAGAACAGCACTCGCACTCGCAGTGCGGGAAGACACCGCGGGTCTGGTACTCAAGAGAAAGGCTTCTCTGCAGTTCGAGAAACACTGACAATGGGTCGTCTGGGCTGGACCAGTAGCCTGTGGAGAAGAGAAGGTGCTTGACCCGGGCTTTGGCTGTACCCCAGTTACCTGGTCACCATCAACCACCCCACACCTTCATCAAGGGATTTTCCCTGACAAGGGGTCGTGTTCACATGGCATGCCTGCTCACTCTGCGAACGGGATTCTGGAGCTTCTGGGCGTTGCGGGGTTCATGCAGCCGCTACAGTAATCCCCATGCACCAAACGTCAGCAAGGATTCGCAGACCTGAACGTAGGAAGGTCTGAAATCCTGGGCCTGGAAGCAGCTTCGGCGGTGCGTGGTCGCAAGCTGCGTCCTGAAAGCCCGCGCAGAAAAGCCTACGATTTCCTGGCCCAGGCTCGACGCTGACAAATGTGCTTTTCTAAAGCGTGAACTGAAAGCCTTCACTCAATGAGCGACCAAAGCCCAAGCCCAAAACTCACCAGCATCCCAGATGCATGATGATGATCTTAACCTTGAAGTCCCGTGGTGCACATGATCGAACTGCATTTCGCAATCTTCAGGCTTTATGGCTTGAGGCCTTCTGGCTTCGTGAAGCTTCAGCCGTCGGGAGAAAAAATACAACCAACCGACGTCTCTTTCCGCGTCCTCGAGATTGGCCTCGCAGTACACTCTGGAGGTGCAGGCCTGACAGCACAAGCATGGACGTGGACCTAAGTTCTCCAAACCAAGGGCTTCTTTGTCTCGTGCACCAAAATTTGTTCTTTGCACGGGTTGATTTCTGAAAGCCAAGACATCAGCTGAAAAGGCAAGCTTCCCTGCTGGTCGCAACGGCTTTCAGAAGCTGTCAGCTGAGCTTTCTGATTCTGCCCTCAGTGTCTATTGTACACAGGGAGGCTCTTGTCTCGACTGGTGGGTCCTCCGTGTCAGCGAAGGCGTACGAAGAGCAGAATGCTGCGACGCGTTCTCTCACAGCTGGCTCCGATGCCTGCAGCGCGCCAGACCCGGGGCCGTCACACAAACACGCATAGACACAGATGGGTCACACATATGTAGACACTGTCTATCTATCTTTGTACTTCTCTGCGTGATGTATTGGCGTACATTATCATAGTAACACATAGGTACGTGCTGTACTTGCCGTGGTTCCGAATGTATTGAGTGTGGGAATCAGACTGGCAAATAGCTACTGGCAAACGTTAAATGTCCACCGCTGGCTCTTTGACTCATGTCTTGGAGCCCTGCATTCGCGACGTCTCTGGCGCCCTCGCAGATCATGCCCTCAGGCCACCAAGGTTAATGCGCTTTAAAAGCATCTGCCAGGCTGCACATGCTCCCTTTCGTGCAAACTTAATTTCCTCATGCTTTCGACGACTCAGCATCTGCACAGCTGCTAGCCAAGTGGCGCCCCGGTCGAACTGCAATGCCCCATCGTTTCACGGTATGGCTCCAAGCTCTCCCCGAAACCCAGAATCTCAAACAACCGTACGCCCCCTGCAAACCCGGGTTGAGCCCGGGTGGCTTCTGGGCATTCGACGCAATCCCCGAGCTGAGCACAAGCCCTCAGAGCGCCCCGGGCATCTGTTCTGGGAGTACCTGAGCCAGGAACCCGGTAGGCTTCGGAAAGACCTGTGAGGACAAGCCGCAACAAGGGCCGGTCAAGCTCTCTTTTCCGTACAGGGTGGGCTCACAAACAGCGACACTGACCATGGAATTTATGAACTCGCGGAATCATGTTGAAGGTGCGGGGTAGATGCGTTTCTGGAGAATCTCGGGTTTGAGTCTAGGATGTCGGTTCTAGACATGTACGTTTGTTTGACTTTCAGCTTTCTGGGTTGGCAGGGCAACACTAGGAGTTCAGGCTTGCCGAGTTTTCAGCCTCCCTCCCGACCGTCTTTCAGCTTGTAAGTGTTCTACGTCTCATTTGTTTCTATTTGTTTCGGAAGGCCGGGTCGCATGCAAACATGCAGATATTATGACAGCCCAGGCACCTCCGCAGATATCAACGTGGTACCTGAAGCTTTGATTCTGGCTTCTGATTTTGGGCGTTTGAGGGACGCCTGTCCAGAAGCGCTGGCGGAATAGGGAAAGGTCGTAAAAGTCTGATGAGGCCGGGAACATGCAAGCCTCTCACCAATCTGACTAGGAAAACAAGGAGCTCCCATCGAAGCACCTTGAAACGCCACAGACCAGAACTATAAATCAGAAATCCCAACTCGAAACGTGGCAAGCCGAAGCCCTCATAGCTGCCCAAACCCTGAACGACGGAAACCGCCCACATACCAAACCGGATCCTGTCCACCCTTGACACAAACCCGCCCTTGGCCGTATCGGCTTCTCGCGCCTCCCACTGGGTACTGTGAGAGAAGGACCCGGGCAAACGCAAGCCTCGATTTGGCAAAAGGGTGAAAAGCTTCGCAGGCTCCAATTCAGGCTTGGGCTTGGGGTTTACTGTTACTGGATTCTGCCGTCCTTCGGGGCTTGGGGGCTTCGGCCTTTTTGCTTCGGGAGAAGGGCTTACGAGTTGTGGTTGCAACCCGTTCCGCTGATTGAAATGAAAGCGACTTCCGTTTAGAGTTAGAGGTTGTGGCACAAGGTCGCAGGATCTCCGGTATGCACTGAGTAGCTCGAAACGGTACTGTTGACACATATCCGAATGATAACCACGCCTATAACAGCAATCATGTGGCCACTTCTGCTGACCTCCGCATTGCAGCAAGTCACGACAATGTGAAGCTTGTTCGTTGTCTTGGGTCTAAACAAGCTAAAGTGTCTTACTGAAACCTCTTACATCACTTGGTTCTTCATCTCCCTGCCTCAGTTTTCAGATCATGGCAAGAAGCGAACTCCTGCGTGGCTCCCGCAGTGAAAGTCGTGAAGCCCCGCTTACACGGCTTGGCGCTTGCCTGCCCCGTCTCATTCCTCGGCTCGTTGTTGAATTTATGAATTCTCCCATAATCCCGAGCTTGGGGAATTTGGGGTCTTAGAGCTGCATGCTTGCGGAGCATGAGTTGGATCCCACCCGGTCGGCTGACTGGGTCGTACTGCACGGAAATCCTTTCGAGTTTACAATTAGGGTGAAACGCTTGCAGGGTGTACAGCTTCGCATCTCTTGGTGAGTTTCACTTGGCTGGCGTTGCGGTGGCTGCTCCACGCAGAACATGACACAACAGGAAAAAGCTAAGTTGGATATAGGCTTCCCGTCTTGCTACAGAATCAAAAGCGGATGCTCCTTACGGCAGGTCAGGATTTCGTGCTGGACGTTAGTTGTACTGCTGCATGAATGGATATATGATCCTGTTTGAACATGTCCCCTTGCCAGGATTCTGTTGGCACCCCAGGACTGGCAGCAACCGTGTTTCACGTCGCCCTGCTGCAAAAATGATAGACTCCCGAACAACCATAAGTTGGAGCTAACTGGAGCCGACCCTGGCCGACTTTAGGAGGACAGGCGTCTTGCCTTTTGGGATATGAAAACTCGAGTCAGCCCTGAACCCTGCCTTGCACCCTGAGCCCTAGACCCCACTACCCTTCACCTTGAACTCCCAAATTGCGCTTGTGTTGCCAAGGCTCTGGAAGGTCCCCGGCGGTGCCCTGAGGCAGGTAAACACCGAGGTGTTGGCCTTTCGTGGTCAATAGCCAGGTCAGAAAAGTTCTAATTGTACATATCAAGGGTTGGAAGCTCGAGTTCGACACAAAAAAGCGAAAACTTTCTCCCATTGGCTGAGTCGCAGGTCGGAAGAAGCCCTTCTCACAAGGCTTGCACTCCTCAAGTCAGGGGGGCAAGTCTCACTGTCAACATACCCGAGCAGCAAACTGCGCGTGCATGTATAGAGGTGCATGCAAACATACATAGTATGAAAAAATATATCTATACACATATATATATATATATATATGTATGTGTGTATATATATATATATATATGTACACGTTTTTGTGTATGTGCTAAGACTTGTCCCACATTGGGTTGAGTTTCAAGCGTGGCCTGTGCAACATGAAACCAACTGGTTTCTGCTTCCATGGCTTGCAATAGCTTGTAAGCAGCTTTCTGCTTCCATTTCTGCTGCTGCCGTATGCAAGTCCGGAAAGCTCTAGTTGCTAGCTGTGGAAGGTACCTGCAACGGTGTAGAAGCCCTTGACCCAAGCATGGCTTGCCCACGTCTTCCAAGCTTGCTGTCGTAGAACCCACCGCTTCAAAGCTCTAAACCCCCCATCCAAAATGACTGCGGGCGTTGGCTGCCGAGGCTCCGTGACCGTGATGTCGAAGTAGAGGCCCGGGTCGCAGACCAAATTCCAGGCAATGTCAATATATCCGGTGGAGGTCGGCAGATGCTGCTCCAAGTAGCTCTCGAAAGGATCGGTCTTGGCGAAAGAGAAGATGATCCCGATCTTGGAGGCCTTGACCTGGTGAGCCCATGCGTTCTTGCAGCGCTCAGCTAAAGCTTCCGCAAGGCTCTACCCAAACCGACAGCAAACAACTACTCATCTTCTGTCGGGCCAAGGACGGCTAACCAAGTTCTGCAGAGCTGTCCTATGCACACTGCCTACATCTATCTTCTCTAGATACACACTGATGACGTTTACCTGATAGCTCCTCTTCATGTACAAAACATAGCCACTAGCCAGAGGGTAGCACAGTCCAGGATCCAAAAGCACCGTCCCAAAAGCAAGGCGCCTGGATCCCAACAGCAACTCAGACGTAAGAGGCTCTGGGTCAAAAGCTCAAAAGCTGAAAGCATCAGAAATCAGGCCAAGGCGCTGGTAGAACGATATCAGAGACGTCTTCCGTCATAAACTTCCGTCGGAATTGCACCTCAACTTCGTGTCACTGATGTTGGCCAGGATCAACCAGAGGACCCAAGTGCTTGAAGGATCAGGGGACTTACTAAGTCGGCCATAAGAGCAAGGGGATCCGAATGCATAACCTGGTCTGCAACGCGCTTGCCAAGTCGATTGGCTCAAAGAGCGCAGACCTTTACCATCCCCCCCGAGTCGAGTCGAACCCTGAAGCGTAGGGCAGCTGCGGAAGTAGACTAAACCCGTTTGCAGCATCGACCTAGGCTGCCAGGGTCTCGAAAACCCGTGCCCAGGGACGACTTTATCAGACTGTGTGTGATGTTCCACCATTCTGGATCATTCTGGAGCCTCTTACCGGTATGTCCTTATACTCGTACACCTAGCGACCCTGAACCTCGGACATGTTGCTTGGGGCAGGGGGGCCCTGAGCCCTTGTCGCCAGTCTCGGGTTCGCGGTTCCGGGGTGTCGGGTCCGAGGACTTGGGCCTTCTTGTAGGGTTTTGCAGCTCTACTAATAGGTAGTTGGTCATATGTGCATCCCAGGCACCAGGCTGAATCCCGGATTGCACGCATCATCAGGGCACCACTCTTTTCCAGATGTGCCCAACACTCCTGACGAGCAAAAGATGCCAAACTGCGAATCTCAAAGGAACGTCACAAAACACGAAGGCGCTATCTTTTATCATGGTCAGTACAGCCATACTCCGCTTATCCCGTGAGAGTTTTAGCGGCTCGGGCTCGAAGGGTCTAGTGATTCTTTGATTTGCTGTATGCTCAAGCGCGCAGCCTAAAAATTAGCCATTCTGCAAGATTCATAAAAGCCCTGAGGAATTGAACTGAAAGACAGCCTTTGACAAGAAAAAGAAGCCAACCCAGGTGTCAGGGTGCTGGGGTCGTAATGTCGACTCATGACTGTTACTTTCGCTCTTTCACTGAGGATTGTAGTCGAGAGCCTACTCTCTTATGGCCGGAGTGATGCGGGTCTATACTCAGAGGTTCATGCTACATTGCTACATCGTTCCCAAACGCGAAGTGCGACGTCTTGTGCTCCTGGAACGAGCTCAAGATCGTTGGCACCGTTCAACGGATTCCTTGGCCGGCTCACTTGCTGCATCCGTCCAGCACAAAGGATCGAAGAGCTGTTTGTTGGAAGCGTTCGAGGTCTGAATTCTGTACTCTCCGCAAGCGCTCTCGCATCAAATGCTGTGAGAAGACCCCCTATCGTAGGCACAAAAGAGCGCGGACCTTCGCAGTTCTCGCAAAGTTTCCCCAAGTCGTCGGATCGCTGTCCTTGCAGCAGCTCGTCCTTCGCAACATATGTGTCTACGGCTCCGGGTTCGGAAATGACGCCCTCAGTTTGAGGGTTTAAGGCTCGAGGCTTCAAGGCCGAAAAGATTTCGCCAACGATCCTTGCACCGATGGAAAAATTTTACAGGTCTATAGTCTAGGGTTTGGGTTTAGAGGTTTGAAGGCTACATCAGTCGCAGGAAACAGGGTGCACGGCTTCCATTGAATACCTGCTTGAAAACACCCCTGAAAGGGACGCCGCACCTTAAGCTCCCATTTCGAGGAACCTGTGTATCCTAAATATCTCATGCAGCAACAGAGTTAAACTGCTCGAAACTAAGCCCTGCATTCAGAAGTGCGATGCATGCCCAACTCCGGCTTACCCATCATCTTTGATAGCTGACATTTATTCATGTATTATCTCTGTATTTGTATATACATATAGATAAGTATATATATATATATATATAGATATCTATGTCTATATGTATGTGCGTATACATATGTATACACATACATGCATAGATGCATGAATACATAGATACAGACAGGTATGTATGTATGTATGCCAAAACCTGTATTTATATTATTTGTGTTTGCTCATTGGTGCAAACTGTTCCTGAAGCTTCTGGAACTATGCTCAGAGACCAGGGCTCACTAGGGTCTTCTAGCACAACTAGCGCTCAAGGATGCGACTTCAGGGTATCGGTTATTGGCTCGTGGAACGACCTGAAAAAATTGACACTTGGAAAGCAAGTGGGGATGGGGCTTATCCCAAATTACTGTACAGCAAGGCTTAGGCTCGACTAGACCGTCCTTGAGCGGTTCTTCAATCCAGCGGGCGAAGCGATCCTCAATCCCTGCTTGGCCATCCTTGACATAAGCAACCTGGGGAACGGTGGAGCAGTTCGACAAAACTCAATACCGAGTTCGGTCTCCGACGGCCATGTTACACATTGATCAAAGCAACTTGCCTAAAGCTACGCTGAAACTTGCAAGTCTGATATTTGCCTCTTCGTGTCAATGCTTACGAAAGAATCGAACAAACCCATTCATAGCCCCGTCGTGACCGACACGAAAACGCACAGAATCCACTCCTCTTGCCCAGCCACGACCATGTCCGTGTCCTGCATGAGTGGGCCACCTTCGCGTGCTGGATCGAGCCAGCCCATGCCCATCCAGCCTCAGCTCGCTATGGTAGTAAAATATCACGAGGCTCGGCATTCTATGGGCATGACATTCGTTGCTGTCAGATATGTTTTTTCATTTAAATTGCCCGCGTGTGACAGTAGCCAGTTCATTTTGATGTTGGCGTGGTGCAAAGTCTGAGGTTGCGTACAGAGGCCACGGTCAGTCAAGCAGCCAAGCGTTTTGCAGCACAATGATACGTTGACATACTGCTGGACAAAGTCGAGTGAGTAGAAGATGGTATAGTGTGGGCCTGACAGCAACGAGACAGTCACACAGGCAAGTACAGCCTGCAGGACCAGCGACCCCATGAACCCAAACACTGCTTGTGCATACCAGACTCATACCAGTTCGCACAGTATTCGTGAGAGTCATGCGAACCAGGCTTGCGATTGAACTTTGTATCGGGATTCGGGGTGGGATCTTGTGCTTCAACATGGCTCTTTAATGTCCTATCCTTGCCGGTGGTTGGCAGAGTGCTTGCGGAAACAACGAACCCGTTCCCAGCGCTTGACCGCCCAACCGAGTTTGGCCTAGTGCTCTGTAGGTCGTATAACCCCAGTCCATCCCGAAGGTCGCGTCGATGATCAGCAGGTCCTGGACAAAGGGGTTGTTCATTATGACAGCCGTGTCCAAACAAGCTTCCAGTAAAAGCGCTTGAATTTTTGCGCACATCTTTTACATCGAGTCGGGCATGTTCGCATAGTGAGACTTCCTTCCAACAGTCGCTGCGAAGTGATGCCAGCACGATGGAATTTCGATCTGAGCAGAGGTTTGCACTGATTGTATTGAACCAAGAAGAACAAACCTGAACTCGAGTCCCTGATGTGCAAGGAAATGCGAAACTTCCCGCACTGATCCCGAAGGTGCTCGCAAAGGAGTCCAGAATTTACGTCGTGGCCGAACAATCCAACCAAAACAACTTCAGTAATATCCATGACACTTCCGTCTCACGGAACAAAATGAACCACACACTTTGCAAGAAACAGCTCTAGGTCATCAAGGCTTCAATGGAAGTCCCAATCTTGAGGCTGCCACGAAGACCACCAAATAATTTCACACAAATGCAAAAATACACGGGCCTTTGAAACATCCACAATGGGCTGGTTGATTCCCTCGGCAAAAGTCTCGTTGCCTGGTCATCACCGGAGCAAATTGGCACAAAGCGAAAACTGGCATTCGGTGCGACAGTCGCAATGGCAATCCAAAGCTCTACCCGTCTTGTACCTCATGAAATCAAGCGAACCTCCCTCTCGCTTGGTTTGGGATCACGACTAGAAGCTTTCAAGCCTCGTCCGAGGACCGTCTGCTTGAATCGCGTCTCCGCCTCATTGATGAGGTCCAGCCGCAAGCTGGGCTGGGTTCCGTTGGCATCCTGGCAAAAAGCTGGGATTTACCCTGCCTACATGCATACATTACGCACATGGCGTGTGCAGGCCGGAAAGATTTAGGCTCTCGACCATACAGGGCCACCCATCCCACTCGAACCTCGATGCGCTGCAAAACCTGCAAGCTTCATTGAAGTGCAAGCAACACGTATTGAACAACGATGTCCTGGAGCGTGTGCTCGATAACGACGTCACGTGCTGCCCATCTCCCGCCCAAAGCGTTGAGCTTGGCAAACAATTCCGGAAAGGTGTTGATGCGGCGTGCGATATCCTGACGTGTGGGTCGACACGGGAGCTTTCTTGTGCCCCAAATTGCAAAGTTTAAACCAAAGTGGCAAAACAATCACCGGTTGAAGAATCCAAGCCGCGCTCTCTGCGTCGCCTTCTTCGGTGAGGCGGTCAATGTCTGCCTTTTCGCAACATTTGGAAATAAACCAAATCGAAACATATGCATGAAAGCGTTCGTGCAAGCATAACCACTGCAGCATGCAGGTGTGGTGAGCGGCACAAGGAACAGACTCAACACATTTAGCCGCGGTTATGCAGGGGGCATTCGGCTTCTTCTTGGCTGGGAACACTGGCAGGGAATCTCCTAATCAGCTGACCCATCGTTGTCGCTAATGACACGATTCCACCGCACAGGCCTGCAAATCCTCATCGATGACGCTCTTGGCAACATAGTAGAGTGCTTTGTGCTGCAAGCACATGTTGATGGAACTGATCCTGCACGAAGCGCACGGCCCCACACGCTGACCTTACAACCACTGATTGGTATGGGAACCGAGGTTAGCAACGACAACAGGCTTCGCGGCTCTTTGTGTGCTGCACTGACCAACAACTCACTGCTAAGTCATGTGAGCAAACTACAATAACTCCAAAATGCACTTTGAACAACTTGTGTTTGCGTGATGTACTGTTCTGGCTTCTGTGGGTAACACCACCGGTAACTTGCGCATTCCACGGCATGAGAAAGCAAAGTTGTGCATCATCAGCAATGCTACACGCTGCCACACCGGTCCTGTTTGCAGTGTCTTGCTGCTGTTGAAGCAGAGCATCCACGGCTTTGCTGCGCAAGGGCTCAGCGCCGAGGGATGGTTGGCTAGCCGTGCCTCATGCAGCTACGTGGTCGCGAACAGCACATGTTCTCATGCCGTGGATGTACCACCCCGAACCCCGAACAACACAACACCTCGGATCTCTCTGCAAACAGATCCACCCGGTGCGCCTACCAGCAGCAAGCAGACAGGTTCACCCATTATGCCAACCAACATGAACAGTGTGAGCTTGAAACAACATGAGGCTCTCGTAAAACTTCTGCACCAGCTGGGCTCCCAGCATTCCCTCTTGATGCAATTCCGCTCAGCGCTGGCATTCGCGCTGGACACCTCGCCGCCCGCACAGGTCTTGCATGGAAGAACCCAGCGGCAAAACCAAATTGGACACTTGGGTAATGGGTTAGTAGGCACGAGATTCGCTCAATCTCGCTCACATTGGTTTACCTTCGCATCACGTTGCTTATTTTGGGCTTCTGGATTCATTTCGCTTTTCTCAGATTACATTGGGATGGAATGAAGTCGCACGCAACCGCCGCGACGCGGAGGCACGTCGCATGCGTTTCCTCCGCTTCTGGCGGACGCATGCCTCGGCCCGAGCCGGAAGCCGCTCGCCAAGGACAGGGAGTGCATCAGCCCACGCCGCTCATTCAATACGCAGCGGGCGCCGGATAAACGAGACCTCGCCGAGGCAGACTTGCAGGGCCTCCCCCACGGCGTCGTCGTGGGCCTGTGCGTAGCCGGCTATGTCCAGCGTCGGCACTGTGTGCAGTGCGTGGTTGGCACGCGGCGATGCGCGAATAGCGAGATGAACCACGCACGTTGCGGGTCCGGGAGGCGAAGTAACTTTTAAGGTAGTTGGCTTCAAAAGCTACCGCTGAGCGCGCATCCGGCTTGCAGTCACTGCCGCTATGAAATGTGGGCGGCCTAAAACCACCAGGCCGCACCCGGAGGACTTTGACTTTGTTGCCCCGCCACACGTCAGCGCCCAGGTCCGCGATTCCTGGTGGCGACTCACCTCCGGCATGGCTGTGCACCCGAGTCTTGCCATCATTGGAAGCTATGCCGCATCCTTCCTGTACTGCCTGCACCACGGTGTCGCGAGCCCTCATGTGGACGCTTCCGCGTGGTTAGGACGTACAGTATGTCCGAACTAAAAACACCAGCTGATTTACCTTCCAAGATTTTATCGACTACGTCTAAGTCATTTGGTCTGCAGTCGGTTCCTTTCCTCATTTTTTCCAACGGAATGTTTTGCTGACGTCCGGACCGGTGCGCAAGCCCAAAGCCAGGGCAAGAGTCGCGGCCAAGACGACACGCGCAGTGCACAGTCACACCACACGGCTCGCGAGCGGGGGCTCGGAAGGCGAGTCGGCGAGGATGTCGCTGAGAGGTGGTAACCCGTTAACATTGGCCGTGCCAGTAAGGGGCAAGGACAGTAGGTTGCCTGCGAACAAAATCCGACCGAGACGGGGAGGGCCGCGGCGCAAACCGCGTCCGGCACTCCAACGCCCACCATTGCATCATCAAAGGAACGAATGACGGGTGCGACTTTCATGGGAAACACAGCAACAAAGTGATTTGAAACGAATGTCGCAAGCTTGATGCTCCATTAAATTCATTACAACGTACCCACATAAACGAGGTGAGCGTTTAAATCATACTACGAAGTGAAAGTCTATGCTTTGCATTCTTTGCCGCCAAGTCCAAACGTCTCAGCGGGCTTATCTCAATGGGCCAAGACAAGCTTCCGTCACTCTACACTAAGCCGGAGAAAAAAAATCAGCGCAAGTCAATGGTTCCAGTATTGCTGCCCGGTCAGCAAGATACCACCTTGCGATATCTTCCTACTGCCATAGACCCATTGGCGACCCCCAGAGCAGGGAAAGCCCCGCTGTGCGTCTGAAGGCGCATCAGCAAAGACAGACCCACCTCCACAGACACCCATGGCGGCAATCGCTGCAACTACCAGCGCTCTCAGGAAAGGCATGAGTTCAAAAACGTAGAATCAGTATACCACAATAGAATACAAGCTCCCAATGATCTCCAGAATAATTGGCGCCCGCAGGTACGAATACAATAAGCACGGGAAGACTGGAACCCGGCAACCAAACGGCAACGGCAGCAGGGACAATGACCTGCTAGCCAGTTCGCCAAAAGCCCTTGAATCACACCACCCTGAAAACCGAAACGCCCCAAAACACAAGGACAGAGAGAGAGAGAGAGAGAGAGAGAAAAAGAGAGAGAGAGAGCGACAGAGACAGACAGAGAGAGAAAGAGAGACAGAGAGAGAGAGAGAGAGAGCAAAAGGCAGAAACGGAGAGGGAACAACACAGAAAAACGCGACAAAGAAGTCTTTCACAGCTCCGTTGACTTGTCAGGCAAGTTCTGCTGCGTCCAATCATTCAGCTGCTGCCACGTGTGTGCGCTGCACAGTGGAGGAATGCGATGCGACCCAACACGGGCCACTTCATCGGATTTCCAGGATTGCTTTACTTGTTCCAACAGTTTTGTCACAAGAGCTTTGTACTTTGTCAACAGTTTCTTCCGAGCCCGGCCTGGCAGCACATTACCGTCGCAGTAAATCAGCCAATCAGGAACATTCAAGTATGTTTGAGGTCTTGAACTGCTGCAGACCAACTCACAGGACAGGAGAAGGCCAGATTGTGAACCTTGAATATCTCAGACTCTCGACCACTGCGTTGCAGCCTCGCCAAAAGTATAATTGCTTGCAATGTGACAGTCGTACTTAACCGCCATGGCCGGCCTGCTGCAGAAAGCAAAGCAATACGAGGGGCCCGGAAAGGCAACTCAAAAAAGGTTGATAGCCATCTCTCCTGCACGGCGTCCAAGCGGGTCTTCCAGTCAGATCGGACAACAAGGAATTCTGTGCCGAAACATGCGTTGGGCAAGATTCGGCTCTGCAAGGTCGTGATCGCAGCGAAAGGAGGGAGCTGCAACATACGAAGAGCAGTAAGTGTACGGGACCGTCCACTGTCCCCACTTTTCTCGACTTGCAGAAGCAAGCCAGTCATGCTGACATCATCATCTATTGGAATGCCTAGACAGTCATGCCGTTCACAAATTCGTGCTGCTCCGTAGCCGCAATCCAGCGGCAATCTGTTTTGGAATCCTCTGGCAATGTACTCTGTCTTCTTTGGGCTCATCGAGGTACTGTGAAAGCGAAATGCGAGTTGGGCTAGCAAGGTCCAACAACAACAAGCGATCGGCATCGGAGCTCACTGACCCCATAGCCTGAGGCCACGACATAGAACTCTCCATTGCCATGTAAGCCACTTGACGACACAACATGAAATCAGGCACAACTGAATCTGATTGATCCCTGGTTTGCAGGTATGCATAAACTGCTTCTTCAGGAGGATCCAGTCCCAGTAAGCAGGGTGAGGTTGCCAAGCTTGAACGCCGAGAAACCGCTCCCACTACAACAAAAACTGGCGACAACAACTGCCCTTCAGGCATGCCTAATTCCAGGCTCACTTCCGCCGGTGCCCGCTACGGAGAGTGTTGTGTTCTGTATGACGCTCCAGCTCAAAACCAAATCCTCACCGGCCAACCCCACCAAATCATGCAGCTTGCAAATCACATCTTGAGGCCATGTGGTTGTGAACGCATCACGCTCGTCAGTAAACAGAGTACCGTGACGAAGGCCAAGAAATTCACGAATACGAGAAGCGTCCAAATCCATCGCTGAAACCAATACAGCATCTTGCCTTCCGAACTGCGCTTCTCCAGCTGCAGCCCACAAATCGTCCACACATCTTGCCGCCCATAGAGCTTCAGCCAGAGACAAATCAGGGAAGCTAAGGACGATGGTGCGGTAATGAAGAAGTGTCATGCTTTTCTTTTAATGTTTGAAGCTTCCTTCACCGATCTCCCCGACCACTGCTGTAGCGAAAAAGATAAAATAAGGGAAAGGAGAACAGTGCAGGCAGCGCATGTTTCTTTCTCTGCACAGCTACACCACACCACGAGCTCAACCAGAATCCAGAATCGTGTTGTAACTGGCGTAATTGATTTCCTCCTATCGCATCGTGTGGGAAGCTTGATCTTCTACGGACCAAGATTGTCTTTCGAATGGGTGGCTTTTCTCGCACGCTTTTTGCGACTGCAAGTCGCACGTGGTCCAGGTATGGTGCCAACTGCGGCCTACAGTGGCAGGTCAACGGAAGCTCCAGGCATGGGCAAGGAAGCGGCTGGGCTGAGGGGCTGCCTGCCAGGACCTCGTGCAGTGGTCGGGGCTCTGTTTTTGCACGTGTTACGTGGAAAAAACTGAGCACCTTTTGTTTGTTGTTCGCATTCCGCTAATATCATGCTTCCAATAATCCATAGCAAATACATGGAACAAAACAACAGTAGCATAAAAACACCAACAGAATATTCGGGATTACCAACAGTTTTTGTTACAGTCACGATCTTTTCCACTTTCTCGGAATCAACCCCAAGACTACACTGTCAATGTACATAGTGACTATGTAGTGCATTTGTCAAGTTTTCCCACGTCGTGTTTTGATTTTTGTAAGCCCCTATTATGCAAATGTGTGAGCAAAGAACAGTTACAACGAAACGAAAATAACGACGGAAAGGAAGCAGGTTTCTTTCTCGTTTCACCGGGTTTTTTGTCACTCCTCGAACCCCGAGGTAAACGTCGCGCTGCTTCCGTTGTGCGGCGGCACGCGGATGGGTTTCGATAACGGCAACGTCAACTGCGAGCTGTGAGAGCGTTCATACCCGGCACCAGCGCATGGCTCGCAAACTACGCACAAGCTCTCGACACGGGCTGGGAACGGCAATGTTTGATGTCAAGCGGCATGCATGGCTCGTATAGCCAAAACCGGCGAGGTGGCGCAAACACAGGGGTGGTCACCAAACGGATCACGCGAACCGCAGCAACAGCACTGGCGGCGGCAGGGGAAAATGAAAGGGCAAGGGCAGCTGCCGAAGCAAGGAACTGGGAACTAGGGATGGCGACGTCATGCCGTGTCGGCAAAATCGTGATGGCACGTGCGGCGAAGGACCCAGCATGCGCGAGCAGCAGCGTGCATCTCATCACCCGCAAAGGCAGCAAACCCGGAGTGGGATAGGAGGCTCGCTACGTCTGTGGGCCGGGGGCACGCCAACCCAACAACATCCAGCATGACGTGGGACTGAAACGGATCGCACCGCGAAAGCACACCTAGTCGACCTTGTTGCCCAAACTTTTGTATCAACATCCTTCACGATCCAAAAATGGATGACACCGGCTGATGTCATAAGCGTGCGAAACATTGGCGCGCCCGCACACTCATGAGCGCATTCAACGAATCAGTGCGCAGGGATGCGTAGGATTCACAAAGTCGCCTCTTGCACAAGCCAGGGAACTTGCGTTGATTCGCCGTTTGCTCAAGCCCATTCAGCCGCTGTCCAGGACGTGGTGAAGCCATGGGCCATGGACCTTTCCGGCGACCATGCCTTCGGTTGCCCAAGCACAGGCCTCTTAGCCAAAAGCGGCATAGTCGTCTTGCATGGCTGGGATGCGTGGCGCGAAGAATGCCGTTGGAGCCGAGGGCCAGGTCGTGTCATCCAAGTGTTTCGCCCATACATGTGCTTGCGGTGTCTGAGCTTGTGAGGGGCGCGGCGCCGCAACAGCTCGGGTTGAAGAGCAAAGGCAGGCGGTGCCCGCGCGGCAATGCGCGTTGCTCTCGCAGCACCGGGCCTCTGAAGTGCATGTGGGCAGCAAATAGGGTTCCGGGCTGCAGCAGTAGCGCTTGGGTTGTGTGATGTTTGGGTCTGCTGGCGGTTGCCGCGAAGCGAGCTGTCGCCGTCTGCCTGTTCAAGCTCCCACTCGCAGGTGTGCAGTTACTGCACGTGGTGCTCGCCGAAGTTCGCTGGAAGCTCCCTGTCCGTTCCAGAAGAATTTCTGGAGTGTGTGTTCCCGTTCTGGGACATTCTGGGGAGCCAGGCGGGTCGGAGTTGCAGCTGCCCGGAACGAACGACCAGTGGCTGGCGGCGATGAACTACCCGTATAGTTATCGCTTCGATCGGCGAGGTGCTGGTCTTTGGCCACACTGCACGGCCCTGGTCAGGGCGCAAGCGAACATGGCGAGAGCGAGCCGGTTCCCTGACTGCAGACTGCGGCGACAGCGGTTCTGTTCCGGCGAACCATGCATATGTCTACTGTGTGAGGAAGGAAATGGAAGAGCGGCGGGCCTGCGGCGCGCAAGATCTGAGGACTGCACTTGCGGTCGCCGTTGCGGACACTGCCAAGTGCAATTAAGGTCCACAATCATCTACAGTGCAACAGCAAGAGCTGTGAGTGCTCGGAAAGCAGCCACGAGTTCGCCCAAGGACACCGCGACTGAGAGAGTAAGGGACAGAGAGAGAGAGGCATCTGCGGCCACAGGTCTTTCCAAGAGTGCAGCAAGGACTACACGTTATCGTAACAGATGAAAACCAGTTCGTTCGTCGTGGCACGGTGCAGTGTGGGGTGTTGGCGGAAACATCACGCATGAATTTCTGTGCTTGCCGCAACCTCGGTCGGAGAATGGTCGAAATTGGCTTAAGTTCAGCCCAAGATATGACGTCGGCAGAGAAACGTTGCGTGCATAGTCCGGTGAGCCCCTGCGACGACGGTTGGGTGGCGACACACCATGCCTCCGATGCAAACCTTAAGAGGGCGATCATGACCTTTTCCGAAACTTTTTGCACGGGACGAAAACAGCTAAACGTAGCCGCCGCCACCGCCATCGCCGGAACCGCAACCGCGGCAATCTTACGCAAACGGCAGCAGCAGCAGTGATGACTTGACTGAACCGTAGGACAGGACCCACGCGTTGCTACGTCCATCGTGCAATCATCAATTCTTCATCTCAAGCCTGAAGCCCTTTCGCGGCGGGGCAATGTTGACGGGCCTCCAACGCGGTGCCAGGCAGCAAGCATCAGGTGTGCGGATTCGGCCTTCTAGCACCGCCCAGACAGACAAACAAACAGAGTCTGTCTAGGAAGCCTCCTGCGGGGGGCTGCACGGTGCTGGGAAAAGCTGCGTCTTGGCGTTTGGATCCCACAGCGGAGTGGCTGTTGCTGCGGGCTGCCGCTTCGGCGCTCCAGCGGCTAAGCTTCTGCAGCCGAAAACTGTTGAAAACGGTTGAAGCCGTCAGGTCGTCTCTTCGATTTCCACGGTCACCAGATCCTTGCTTAAAGCCGGCAGTCGTCGATCCTTTGCCTGTGGGTCCTACCATGCTTCTGCGACGTTGAAGCAACGCCGCTTGTCTCTCCGCGTCGACATGTCCCGTGGCACCGAAGAGATGACGATTTGGCTTCAAACCGGCCTGCACGAGGTCGCCGATGTACAACCCGTGCACGTTGCAGAACTCATAGGGCCTTCCCGAGGAGCTTAGGGTGAGCACCTGCGTTTGACTCTTATAACCGGAGACCCCCTAGTTCTCGAGCAACCTACATCGTACCGTGGCACAGCTACCCGCTGAGAACCTATGTGCCGGACTGTGTTCAGACATTGGATGCAGCTCTTGCCTCAGAAACGGGATGTTCTCGGGCACCTGCCACAGCGAGGACGTCAACAATCTTGATCTCGTTTTGCTAGAACCAGACGCTTTAACGGTTACAGCCTAACCCCAAACGCTGTAGTCTTCAGCACGAGCTGACAATCTGAGTCGCCTGCAAGCCTCAATGGTGGTTGTGGTGCTGGTGGGGAGCAGAAGAAGATGATGAGAATGATGACATGATCAATGTCGCTGCAGCAGCAACCACAGATGGCCGCCCGCCAACACCCTGCTCTTCACCGCCGAATCTCACTGCTGCTTGCGCCTGGAAAGTGCAGGACGCGGGAACCTGAGCATCGGGTCTTGAAGTTGGTTCGTTCCACGAGCTTGGCGTTTCCTTCAAGGCCTTTTGTCTACTCGGCTAAGCAAACTCCCAGGTTGCGCTGAGGCCCCCAAGTCGGCTCATAGATTCTTCAAGAGATAGTTAGTCCAAGCCACTGAACTCTCGAATAACTTGTCCCTGAAGCTCCGAAACGCCAGTCAACGCAAACATCCAGACACAAAACAAAAAATATGCCCGGACTCCCCAACCCTAAACTCCGAACCCTGCATCTTACCGGTCTGCCTGCAGGTCTGAATAGCGGTCTGGGAGCTGGGTCTGTTGGCAAAAGCTCACACATCGCCACCAAATTCCCCAAGTCGTCCACTGCCTTTGCAGCGAGGGTCTTCTTGGCATGATTGAGAACAGAAAGGGTGCAGACGGTTCAGGGTTCGGGGGGTTGTTGACAAGTAGGGGATGCAGGTGAGCTCTAGCCCTGATCGCCCAAAAGCACCCGCAACTCTAAGCTGCCAGCCCAAGCTCAACAAAGCCCTTTCTAAAGGCCTAGACCCCATGCAAAGACTCGGCACGTAGATGTGTGAAATCCAGTGAGCGAAGTCTTTGTCCTCCGACGGAGTCATGGGGTGAACCAAGCCGCCTTCGTTTCCTTGGCTCAGCCAAGGGGTTCTCTAAAAAATCACGGAGGGGCTCTTGATTAAAAGTGTACAATGAAGATCCTGTTTAGGGTCTAGGTTCGGGCCACTTGAAGGGCTGGGGCTTCTCTATGTCTCGTTGGGATGTTGGGCTTGGGAACTTTCAGGGTCGAGGCTTATAGGAATTTCAAGTTCAAGCTTGAACCATTGAATCTACCTACAGCGCCTACTACGCTAAGAAGGCTCAGTATTACATACTCGGCTTGTAAGGAGGAGATGGTCGTTTGAGGCCTGGGGCTGTTGGGTTTGGAGTTTCTTTTTATGTTTCGGTTTGTGTTTGGAGATTTCAGTCTTCAGGCTTCGGGGCTGTTTAAGGTTCATCCCCAACCGCTTGCCCGGTGCTTTGAGTGAAGTGTGCCCGCTTCCAGGCTGCTATGCTTCGTGCCAGAGTCCCACAACCCCTAAGGCACCGAAATCAAGAACCCAAAGCTGGTGTCTCAAGCCAGGGGCCTGGGGTGCCGCCGACACCGACCACGATGGTTGCAGTCGTACCGTTCACCATCAGGAAAGGCGTGTGCTTGCCTCAGGCGGCGGTGCCGTTTCGGGATTCGGACAATGGTACGGGACCCTGGAGACTAGCTCGCGCCGTCGGCTGCAAAAGACACCCTGAACTGTGCCTGTGGGGTCCGTCTTGGGCTGATAGTCCTCTCTTCGCATCAGCTCGCCAGCAAAGGCCTGGCAGTTGGAGACCTTGCCACGCAAAGAAGTCGCGCTTGAGAACTGAAATGGTTTGAACAGGGTTGTGCGTGGAGTTACTAGCATGATTTGCTGGTGACTTCACGAGAGCAGTCACCCCGCGCCGGTTTTTGGGTTCTCGCAGGGTGTTCGGGCTTTGGGCGTTGGCTAAAAGCCGCCCTTCGTCAACCTGAGGTCTACTATTATACTATACTGTAATATCTGTGTGTAGATTTTCCTCTACTCCACGGCAGGACCCAGTGACACGTTGTTTCCAACAGCCCTGCTGGCAAGAGAAGCAGCACTTGAGTACCAAGCAACAACAAAGCTAGCTAGCCACGACGCTCATAAAACTATGGGGTATTGGCAACAGTAGTTGTGATCGCAGTGGTTTTCGCCCCATGTTAAGTGCCTCCATGCTCTGAATATGAAGCACCTTCAGAAGCACGGTGAAGGTCTCAGGTCTTCAGTCTAGAGTTTTGGCCTAAACGCACAGGATGTGGCTTCGGGGAAAATATTCGCCAGGGTCGCAGCCTATTTTCAGCAGTGTCCCTGCAGAGTGTGTGTGCAATGTCTACATCTGCATGGGCATTGGCAGAAGCATTTGCAAATGCTGCAAAAAACAAGACAAAGGAGTGAATGCTCTTGCAGGTGAGTTGCCGATGTCCCTTCTGTGCACTGTTGTACAGAGCAGGCAGCAGGGGCGGAGGCGGAGGTCTGTCCGGAGGCGACGGACACGGCGGGACTGCGGTAGAGGCCATGCAGATTGCCTGGCATCGTTCAGGCGCGTTCGACATTGCAGAACAATCGTGCAGTACTCGAAACACCACAAAGAGTCCGAAAGAGAACAGCACAATCGCAAGAAAACAAAGCAAAAAAGAGCACCAATAGCAGCAAGACCAAGGCCCAAGGCACAGAGCTCGAAGGCTCGAAGGCTTGTCGTCCCCGTCGGGATCTCGAAGTACATCCTCAGCGGAGGGGCGCGCTCAGGGCGGAAGGCCGGCAGCCGTAAGCCCAGCGTGCGGCTCCCTGCGCCTCCCTTGTGCTATCAGCACGAAAGACTACCACCTCTCCGAGAAAAAACGAAGGACTCAGGCTACGATTCTACTACTTCCACGAACAATCCCTACCACGGCGCCAATAGTTCCACTGCTTTGATCTTGGCTCTTCAGGCGAGGTTCGTGGCGGGAGCTGGCTCTGCGGGAGACAAATGACGCATCGAGACCAGATTGCCTCGATGCGGGTCTGCGCTCGGAAGCCCGCAACCCGAAGCCCCAAGAATTCAGACACAAACCCACCCAGCTACCTGCAAACCCTCGAGTCCACCATCGCTTCCTGAGGGGGACCTTTGCAACTCCATGGGTGCCAAGGCATGGGCTTTCAGGCTGCACCGGTCGCCAACAACTTGAGTCTCAGCTATCCTCACCATGAAGACCCCTAGGAAAGAGAAGCCCTCAAGTTAAAGAAGTCCCCACTTGCAGCTCCAGGACCAGATTGGTCTTCCACCCAAATGAGCTGGATGAAGTGGATGACGTCGGGATCATCCACCATCCTTGGCCAAGAATCCAGACTCTCCCATACTACCTGCCTTCCAGTAGAAGCTATGTAGCCACACAGCGCACCCTGACATGGGGGAAGAGCTGACCATGGCTTTATGGACTTGCTTGCACCTACATGCACACTTTGTGAGAGAACAGCGCTTTTCATGTCCATAGCAAGTGCATGATTCAGTACCGAGCCTTTCAGTGGCACCGTGATGTGGGCATCGCCCAGATGAACTGCCTAGATCTACCCTGCCACCCTTTCGTACAATCATACGTAACAGAGTCAGGGACAACACTACCAACTCAACCCTCAAAGCAACACGATCAAACCTAGAACCTCAAACCTTAAGCCCGAACGCCCCCATACTTCGGCGCTGAACGGGGCTCCCACGAGACCCGACACTCTGTTCAGTCCCTAGGGAATCCTTAGAGGACCGCTTCAACCACCCCAAAACAAAGCTCCGAAACCACCTAAACTCTCAAGCCCCAAAAACCCAAATCCTAAACTCAAAATCCTAAACCCTAAACCCTTAAAACCCTGAACCCAAAAAGCCTCTAAGCCCGAAGGCCCCTGAAACAAAGAAGTCCTGAATCCCAAGGATCGGATGGACCAGGTCGTTCGGATCCCCGGTCACGGCTCCTTTGCCCACCACGACCTGAGGCTTGAGGCTTAGGGTTTTTGGGGGTAGGGGAAGTGTGCGGGTTTTGGGGCCCATTATATGAGAATTTATAATAAGGAACCCCCCCCCCCAAAAAAAAAAAATAGATTTGGTAACAATTAAGGCGGTTTTGGAGGATTTTAATCATCAGGGTCTGGCAGTGTCACTCCTAAAGTGTTTAGGGTTGAGCTTTTTGCTTGGCCTAGCATTCGCGGTTGGGGGTGCTCAGGTTCAGAGAATACCGCTGCTCTGACTCTTGACAGTAGAACCCCAGTATGCTGCAGTATATAGTGGCCAGTGCTACAATCATGATGGGCATCCTCGTTGTCATTGTCGTGCTCACGACAGTCACTGGCTTGCTGATGCTGCTACCACTGCCCGCTGCAAAGGCACATGGAAGCACGTGAGATTCCGGGGAGTTGAAATAGCTGCCCAATATCAGGCCAAGGCAACCAAGCCCAAACTAGAGGCGTTAGCAAAAACTCATGGCCCCTTCGAAGTCCTCATTGTGATAAGCTACCATCGGCAACAACCCTGACATGCCCCGGACCTTGGCATGTGTGGCATTGAGCACGATGAACGGGCTGTGTTTCTCCTTACCAGGTTTAGGGTTTTGGGCTTTCAGAGCTTGTGGGCTCGTCCAAGATTTCTGGAGTTCTATTGCTTTGGGAGTTTTGTTTGGCTGGGGCGCCAGGTCGGTTGCACCGCAGAGAATGCAGAAGCTCTGGGGCAACAGCTGAGAAGGCGGGTCTACGACTTGGTGCCACCTCACGCCAGGAACCTCTAGCTTCAATGTGCAGCTTCGCCAAAACGAGCACATGCCATGCGCAACAGGACTTCAACAAAAACGATGCTTGCAAATGCCTCTGAGGGCCACAGGTCTCTGTGCCAAGGTGCGTCGATGCCCGCATCGACATACCTTAATTGCACCGATCTCCCGCAGCAACATGAAGTGATGCTAGCGAGGTGTAAAAAGAGTTCCTTTAAGAAGGAAGAGCCCCCGCCCACAAGCGAAGCAAACTGATTTTCCAATCTCCAAGTGACGGGATCGTAAGGCCTGCAGCCTCCTGCCATCGATAGGCGTCTGCCTTCCAGGAGGTGCAGTCGTCATTCAAAATGGCTGTGGCACATCTCCAAAGTACCTCGGCTTTCGGCCACACTTCAGATTTTGGATCCACTGGGAGGGGCCGCGTGATTCCAGTCCCGATTCTTAATACAATGGCATCGTCCGACACAGTACCATTCAATGGAGTTTATGACGGACATGACTGTAGCAGGATGTTGGGTTGGTACGTTGGAAACAAGGGGTTGAAGCGCCCGGCTCAGTCCAGATGTCGCCTTGTCTGTCACCTCGTACATTGACATCCTTCGGGTTCTTCTAAATAATGCGACCAGACTGCAACCCTCCCAAGCCCAATCTGACAGTTTAAGCACCTCTACATGGGGCTTTGCAAGCTTTTCGCCAACCCGCCGGGGCGTTCCAGACGTCCTGGAAAGGTTTGCGACCGCCTAACCTGAAGCGCTTAGCGCTATGAACCCCAAACCGAGCTTGGGGAAGAGGCCTTGATCTTAGCCATGATGCTGCCAAGCAAGCTGTTGTCCGGAGCATGGTAGGCCTTGTCATGCATGACATATGCACATTGGATTGGGCTTGGTTTTACGTTGGTTGCAGGCGCATCGTCGGACACGGAAATCGACCCGTGGAGCGTATCTGCCGGCCGTTGGATCTAGGAGTACCCAGACCTTCCAAAATCCCTTGATTAAGGAATATACCTTAAACTATACGAGGAATCTTCAAATGATTTACGGGACATTCTTGCATTAAGGGATTTTGGAAGGTCTGGGTACTGGGGGGTTTTCACAGGATGTTGCAGTCTTGGCCTTGGAGCGACACTTACAAGATGAGTCCAACGACGGGCGACTGCAAACAAAGAACCAAGCACCCGGAAAGACGAGTCATGAAGTCCAGAGACTAAAAAGGAGCTGGCGAGAGGAACTTCCGTGCGTGGACTAGGCTGGTACCTTGAGCGATGGACTTCAGATGATGCCCCTTTTCCAACATCTCTGTTCCCAATCGAAATGTACCTCCACTTACTTTTGCAATTTCTTCGGGGACTAAAGCTTCAGCTTTTCGGATGTCTAGGGACTGTACCAACCCCAACTTGCTAAAGGCCGGCGGCTGCATACCCCAGTAGTACCCGTTGTGGGCTTTAAGTTTCTGAATGGGCCTAGGCCTAAGCCCGAGCTACCAAAAGTTCAGGGCGGAGGAGAGCCGGAGCTGGTATTCGCAACGCAACTCGGTAGTAGTATCTTATAATGGTATTTATTACGCCGCTTATTATCGTTATGCTAGTTCATTATGCTATGCTATATATTGTTTGAGCTAATTAGTTACTGTAGCAGATTGGAGCTTTCGGTGCATGGTGCTTTTGATCTTTTGCTGGACTCTACAGGAAAGGACTTTGCAAACTCGTGAAGCTCCCCTCGAGTGACTTTTTGAAACGTTGACTTCAAAACGTCTGAGCACCAAGCCGTCGTCGAACGCAAACCTCTCTTAGATCAGCATCAAGCCTGCCAGCAGCACAGCTACGTGGCATAGCTTCGAGCGTGTTAATGACTTGTGGAAGAGCCCAAGGACCGAAGAGGCAGTTTCGGGTTCAAGGTCTTTGGCTTAAGATCCGGCTGCCAGGAAAGATATTCCATAAATCGCAACAGCAAAAGCAAAAACACATGCAGCTGCTGCAGCAAGAACGGCACCGGGCAGTGGCAGCAGCAGCAGCGGCGCTCAAATCCTAATGTTGATGTTCTGAAAAATAAAACCCATGAAGCTTCCAATGGGCCCAAAAACTTTTTAACGTGGTGCACTCAAGCCCTCAAGCAAAGTATCCTCAGACCTATAGGGAAAGTCCCGGGTGAAGCCCCACTCACCCAACCCTCTTCTCCCAGAGCATACCCGTCCTGGCTCTCGATATGCCGCAGCATCTGAAAATCCTGACTACGTATTAGTCGGCTTGAGCCTGAGCAAGTCATACTCCGGGCTCCATATGAAACTACATGTTTTACATACCTCGCAAGGCTTGAAAACCCAGTTAATGCAACACGTCCTGTCCGATGACCCGTCGCCCCCGTCGACATCAGGCTTTACGGTGTCAATGCAAATTTATCCTGACTCTGTGGATGTGGATTCTAAGCCCCGATGCAAGCAAGCTTAGTCGGCGAGACTTCTGGATGTAGACTTCAAGGAAGAGGCTTGCGGTCCGGATCTTATCATTCTAACGCCGGACAGCCGTTGCACCTTCAAAGATTGCCGCCTTAAAGCTTAAACGCTTGCTACTTATCATCTTTGTCGTGTTCATGATGGAACGATGCTTGCCGGATCACTTTTCGCCACCATCGCCTTCAGTTTCAGCTGCGTCGTCTTCTGACGACGCGCTGTTAAAGAGTTTTCTGCAGAGCGAGGCGTCCCCGAGGCCCCAGCAAGAACAGGAAGCCCGCATGACAATTGTACACATGCAATTATGAATTTGCAAATTAATCAATGTGTATACACATATAACCGTAATATATATATATATATATATATGTAGATGTAGATGTAGATGTAGATGTAGACGTAGATGTATATGTATATATACACATAATTATATATACACATGTATGTGTATATCTACATATATACATATATGATATATGTGTATATTATACACATCTCTGCATGGTCTGATGCTTGTTCGTGTCAGGGTCGGAATCCAAGACTACGATGAACTTCCCCTGTGCCTCTGTTCGTCTTCAAGGATTTCTCGTAGTAGCCATTCTTCAAGTGCTTTCCGACGATCAGACAACACAAAAGAAGAAGTTGAAGTTGGCATTGCGGCATTGCCAGAATTATTACCCATACCATCCCGTATTCACCCTACCAAGCCTTCGAGGATCTGGCCTCAGGGAGATTGCAGTATCCCCTGCCGGGCAGCGAATAAAGCAAGCATGGGGGGCAGTTCCAACTTTATGCACAGATTTTCGAAAGCAAAAATCAAAGGCACTCCCGAAGAGGGACCCGGATTAGGAACAGCCCCCCGGCTCAGTCCACAGCCAAAGAGGGATCACACTTCCATGGCTGCGTGTTCAGATCGTTGGTGCTCAGATACCTTGGGGGCTCCGGAAAAGTAGAAGGTCCATCGGTCCCCATATGGCGACTCCTAGTGTTCCATGTCTACAGTGTGATAGGTACAGAGGGGGACTGGCCAACCTACCGTGCAGCATGTTTCAGGCATTCCCTATATGGGAGTGTCCAAAAACAAGGGGTACCTTATTTTGGGGTCCTTATAATAAGGATAAGGATCCTATTATGCAGGGGACTATATTCGGGTCCCCTATTTTTGGAAACTCCCCATATCCTTTGTAGTGAACGTCTTGACCTACTTCCGAAACCGCAGCAGGATGCCTAAGCAGGAGATCTCCAGATCGTGGAGCCTTCTGTGCGGCAAGCTAACGACTCCAAGGCACTCCAAGAGAGCCCAAGCAACAAAAACGATAGGGATATCACCCAAAAAAACCCCTTATAATGAAGCCCAATAAGGTAGGGATATCCCTAAAGCCTAAACCCTAAGCCCAAGGCTCCGGCCAAGGAAGCCGGGGTTGGGTTTGGGAGTGTCGGGCTTAGTAATACAAACTTCTTCCTTTGCCAAATATTTCCGGACCCCGACTAGCTGCCTTAAAAGAAGCCCGATGGCTCCCCTTTAAAGGAGCCCCCATCTTTATAGGGTTTAGGGTTCAGGGGTTTAGGGGTTTAGGGTTCAGGGGTTTAGGGGTTGAGGGTTCAGGGGTTTAGGGATTTAGGGGTTTAGGGTTTAGCGGTTGGGGTTTAGGGGTTTAGGGATTTAGGGGTTTAGGTATTGGGGCAAACAGTCCAGGGAACTCCATCTCGTCCGACAAGACTTGGAGGCTCTCAATGCCGTTGCTCCTCGGCGCGGGTGGCTTCATACAGGGGTAGCTGTAAGGGTTCCTTCAAAGTACTATAGGGGTACCTACGGGAGTTTCCGAAAACTCGGGGACCCTCATATAGTATCGGAACACCCCAAAAGAAAGGTACCCCTATATAAGGACTCCGAGAAGAGCTTTTAAGAATCAGACGAGGAATTCGGGGGGTTTATACCATCAAGGTATCTTACGGTTTGGAGCTTCTGATCACCGAAGTAAAGATCCTCGTGTTCCTCTGGTCTCTTCCGGCGGACCCTTCGAATCCCAAATCCGCCAACTATGGTGTAGTCTTGAGAGTGTCTTGCGGCCTCTCGACAAAAAGGCCTATGCCCTAAACTAAATCCAAGCATCCCTTCAAACCTTAAGGAGTTCTACGGTTGATGATATAAATCCTGCATTACCCCTAATAAGGAAGATACCATTACTCCCATAGTCTAGGGTCCTTAAGGTAATGCAGGATTTATCCCCAAACCGAGCTCCACAGCTTCGGACGAGGATCTGGTTGTACGAGTCACTCTGGCGAATGGCCGCCAGTAGCTGGCTCGAGCCTCCCGAAACCACGTGCAGCTGGGCTCAGAGTAGGGATCCAACAAGAGGGCTCTTCTGTAAGGGTACGAGGGCTGCTTGCCGTGAGGGGCTTTAGGGATCGGGAGGAGAGAAGCAGGGGAGCCTTATAAGGATATAGAGTTCATCTCAAGGTCTCATAGAGCCTCTAAGATCTGGGGGCTACGTGTCCTTTAATGTCATTGACACACGAAGGAATGATCCTGCAGGGAGGCGCCGATGTTGTGTCGGAACTATAGTTTAAGTAGTTCAAAGCTGAGCATCTTCCTCTGCAAGGCTTCAACCGCTGAGCGGATTCTTGAGTCGCCGGACAGACTTATCAGGTTTGATTCTCCTGGGAGTCTCTCTGTGTGTGCGCGTGTGCGCCTGGGCGGGTGGAGCGATAGGAAACTCATGCTTCTCCGTGTTTATACTGATGTACTATATATACCGTATTGCCTCTCCTCTTACGATGCACTCTTCTGGTTCTCCAAAGCATGGAGGGGGCTAGGGCTACCCCCCGAAAAGAGCCATCAGAAGCTAAAAGTACGGAGAAAGCAGTGGATCCTGAAGTCCCCAAAACGGTTTAGGGTTGAGGGCAAAGATTCCAGAAAACTGGGACATTCGGGCTTTTCGCTTCGGCAGTCAGCGCCTGTCACGTTTGGTTCGGGCTTGTACTCCAGAGGCATGTTGCGTAGGCACCTCGGCTTGCACATGAACTCAAGTTCGCCCGCCTTTGAAGGTTTTTTGGGCCACCGGCACTGCAAAACAGTCCCTTCTCGCCAGCTGTAAACTCCCAGCCGCAACACTACCAATGATTGCCATCTTGCCCAAGCTCCGGGGGTCGAGTCGCTTCAGGAACCCAGAATAACTCTGAGCCTGTCTGTAGACGATGATGTCTGGGGACTGACGACTTAGATTAGACCTCGGCAAAACTTCGCGAGCGCGACGGCCTACGCTGGGCTCGGGCTATAAAGGCTTTATATGCCGGAGAAATCGCACGCCCTTCGTTCCAGCATAGCTCTCCCCTCTTGAGATATGAGGCTGGGGCTTAGAGGTCGAGGGCCTGAAGGGTTCAGGGTTCAGGAG